AAAATATTTATATTATTTATGTTAAAACACCCAGGTACAGTTCTGCAATAAACCTACAAAAGGCCTATTTTATATCATCAGATGCAACTTTTATTCGATAATTTAACTTAGGTAACCTTAAAATATTAACTTAAGTTAAGTTAGGATTATGTTATTTTCCCATAAAATACTTAAGTAAAGTTATAACTTTAAATGTTTGACTCAGATTTAAATGTTTCATTCAATGTAAATTATTAAGTTTAACTTAGGTCAGAGTTTCTCAAGGTGTGGTCCGCAAGCATTTTTTTGTGGGGTCCACGAAAAACATTTTAATCAAATTTATTTTTATATGTATTGTATACTAGCAGAGTACCCGTCCTTCGTACGGGGTTGGCGTATAAGTATAAAATGCTTATTGCAGTTATACTCGTGCTTTGTGTTTGCAATGGGGGAGGACACAGTTTGAGTAAATTTGGTTCTTTTAACTTACGGTAATTTACACATCTACTATAGCCATAATAATGTGCTACCACTTTACCTAAACAATAGAGACGAATAAGTTACCAAATATTCGCACAATCACAAATTATTTATAAATAAAAAACTTAAGCATAACTGTAAACAGTCCTATTTTTTGTCAGTTCCCATTGTGTATCATAGCTTTTTGTTGCTGCTTGGGTCAAATAAGCTGTTGTCATATATGAAAAAAAATTAGTTCTGCACCCTATTAGTAAACACTATAACTTTTTAGTACTATTGAATATCATAGAACCAACTCGTGTAGTTGAAACCGCTGGTAAAATTATTTTATTCATTTTAAATTTGAATACTGATAAGGTTAACATGGAAATCTCCAAAGCCACTGGGGCGGAGCCTGAATGGGTCTTTGAGATAAGAATATGTCTATATGTTAATTGGGAACGAAAGCTATAATCATACCGAATTTCAGCTCGATCCGACCAGTAGTTACTTAATGCGTGATTGAACTTCAAACAAATAAACAAACACACAAACTTTCACATTTATAATATTAGTAAGATTATATTATACTAGCTGAAAGTAAATAAAAGAAAAGTCTTATAACACTTAAAATATATATTTACACTTATACTGTTACTCACAAGACGGTAAATATACAAAACAGATGGTAAGTGGTGATCGATTTCGATTGGACACTCCAATCATCATCAGATCCAATAGGCGAATGTACCCATTCTTCTAGGTCTGATGATGATTGGAGTGTCCAATCGAAATCGATCACCACTTACCATCTGTTTTGTATATTTACCGTCTTGTGAGTAACAGTATAAGCGTAAATATATGTTTTAAGTGTTATAAGACGTTTCTTTTATTTACTTTCCGTAAATTTAATAACACGTAAAGTGCTGATCAAGAAGTTATTTAATTATAATAGCCTATTTTGCTATAGGCTAAAGGATTAAGGTTAAGAAATATGCAAAAAAACTTAAACCTAAATAAATAACCTAGCCTACTTATTTATTTAGGTTTAGGTTCCTTTGCATTTTTCTTAATGTTGATTTTAATAAGTAGCTTAAACTAGCCTACAGTTTTCTATTTAAGATATATCCTAAATACAGTAATGACATCTAGTGATATGCATCCGTTCCAAACCCTATCACTCACTCCTATCCTATCCTATCACTACGTATTTTCTATCGATCGTCTATTGATACTTCCCCTAGGGTCAAGTAGAGCCTCGTCTTCTAACCCCTCCCTGAGGAGATAGTTTAAAAAGTTACAACACGCACTCATGACCTTACCATTGTACCATGCTGGTAAAATGTGCTGATGAAAAATCGTACGACGACTGTAAATCAATCGCTCTAAGCAAAACGGTCGCCGTAACAGCGATAGTAACAGAGCGATTATCGCTGTGCGACTATCGCTACAGTCGCTCCGAGCAAAATAGGCCTTAAGTTAAGTGGACTAAATCAAAGTAAGTTAACCTAACTTAATGCCAATTTTTAGTTTAATGGAGAAAAAATTTTGTAGCCTACCTATATCAGAAACTAATCGCCTGAAAGCTGACCAGACTCTTACTGCGATTAAACGTAGGTTACTGCATTTTATCTGACAGTGTCACTAACAAAGTAGCTGCTTAAATACTTATCGAGTAGGCTACTGAAGTAACTTAGCTTTAAGTCCCTAGCCCTAAGTTATAAGTTACCTACACATTAAAATATCATGGTATAAAATATGGCATTAAGTTAAGTCTAAAGCCGGGTTTTCCTAGACGCGGAAGAGGAGCGCGGAGAGCGGAAAATCGAGTAACATGGCATTCCGCTCTGCTTCCTAGGAAAACAGTACCGGTAACATTAAACTATTTAAGACAAGAGGAGTTCACTCTCCACGCTACTCTCTCCCCGCCTAGAAAAACCCAACTTTATAGAATAGACTACAACGTAACTTAGGCCCATTATGGCTAATCTAGGCTATAACCTACCATAGTCTATACTATGAACAGTGACGACAATGCCTAGGCCTAAGTTAGACCATACCAGTACCACAATACCTAAGTATCTTACATGGAGAGCTTGATATCCAAGCTGGTAAAAAAAATATGTTTTTATGCATACAAACAACTCTAAGTTAGGCCGATAAGTTGACAACATTTATTTTTTAGGCTAGGCTACTCATTGCACGTAGGCTTACCAACTCAAAAGTGGCTGACTTTAGGCTAAAACTTACTTGGCTCTTTCAAAATTTTCACTGATTTTGAGTTTACTTAATTTCTTCCTAGGCTATTCTTGTAATTAACTTAAGACGATTTGATTTTGTTAGTCACAATCCTTGAGTTTACTTAGTTTGTGCTAATAAGAACTTACCTTGATGGATAAGAAGAAATAGGCCTAGATGAAACTTAATAACAAATCAGCTTTAACAATATAATATTATAACTTGAACAACTCAGCACCAGAATATCGATATTCTCAACTCAATGAGAGAGATTGAGAATGAATCACTTACAAATACACAATAAACAAAACAAAGCAATATGGCCGATGGCATCTTCAAGTGTCGGTCCCACCGTTAACTTAGCGTCGTTCCCGTTCCCGCTCGGAATTATGGGTAACTTACACTCGACTCCAATTCGAATCCAACGTGATACTTAAAAGCTGTAATTTCAAACCAACGTAAGCGTAATGGAAGTGCATTGTGGGTAATATTACACTCGACTCGGATTCGAATCTAATGTGATATTTCAAAGCTGTTAATACAAGCAAGTGCAAGCGTAATAGTAGTGTGTTGTGTATACTCGAATCCAGTTTGAATCTAATGTGACATTTCAAAGCTGTTAATTCAATCCACTGTAAGCGTAATTCAAGTGTGTTACACGAAGTTGACATTTGACTCGAGTTTGAATCTAAAGTGACAATTCAAAGCTGTCATTTCAAGTAAAAGCAAGCGTAATTCAAGGCTTGAAGCAAGCTTACGTGCTATCTGGGTTACCTGCCCAGGCCTTAGTATTGGTAAATACTCGTATTAAACATTAGCTTGAGAGCTGAAAACCGGTTAAATTTGTTTTGAATATTGAATAATATTAGTCTATGAGCTAGTTGACTTTAACTCAACTAGCTCATAAGACTAATATTATTCAATATTCATAACAAATTTAACCGGTTTTCAGATTTCCCGGCTAATGTTGACTATATGAGTATTTAACAATACTATGGCCGGTGCAGGTATATTCCGCAAGAACTTTGGACTGCCGCCATTTTGTAACGGATGAACCTTTTTTGACGCGGTTTCCGGCAGTGAACTCCACTTGACTAACCCTTTAAAATGATGTGCACATCAACCTATATGCTTACATTAAAAATTATGTACCTACTCCTCATGGGTCGTCCCCTGGTAGAGGTAAAAAAATAATAACGCTTGGAAAAAGTAGATTTCATACATGTAAGTTGATGTGAAAGGTTTGAATCTTCTAACGAATTTAGTTAAACATATATTAAGCCGTTTCCAGACTTTTTTGTCACCCTGTATATATATACGGTACGTTATGGACTCCAAAACCGCTCAAAACAGATTGTAATGAAACTTTCAGTCATTATTGTAATGAATGTATGTAATGAATCTTTCAAGGATGGTTTGAAAACTATTTTACTTCTAATCCAAAAATATTAAACCCCAATCGCAGCACACCTGTGCACTCAACAACGTTTAAATTCTCCAATTTTAATTTGTAAACATAAAAACCTTTATCAAATTATTATAAACAATAAAAGGGATGGCAATGCCTTAATATTTTTTATCTTTTGTTCTATACCCTCACAATATAACATAAATTATTAAGAGAATAATAATCGTGCTTGCTATCTCGGGTATTCAAATGCCTCTCAATTTGTCATCTACCCACCACATTACTGTCATTAAAAGAAGGAACTCCAATAATACTAATGTGAAACTTAAACTCACCGAAGCTGTGCAATGTTACTAGACTGACGATTAAAAAATGACACCAAAATTGATTGAAGCAAAAATTATCAGTGGTAATTTTAAAGGAGAAATAGTCTTAATCCTAAGAATACTGATGATTTTATCCTAATTACCCGCTGAATTTAAGAAACTACAATTTCTTTTGTTCTTGCTTTCGCAATCACTATTATAAGACACTGGGGCAATCCCTGACTATTGTCGGTTTAAATTTAGAAAATGCATACTTTTCACACGGACAGCTGTATGTTGCATGCTCACGTGGTGGTAGGTCCGCCTGAAAACTTTTATACACCTAATGAAAAAACAAAAAACATTGTTTATCCACTAGCAATTAAGTAAAATATTCTATTTTTATTTTTGGTATACACTTTTATTATTCATCGTAATGAACAAATTACCATTTAAAATAATAGTTGTTAAGCGCAGCAAAGCGCCATGTAATTGCTAGTTATAAGGATAGATAGGGTGAATATTATTGAATTGGTACTATTTATAAATTGGGGCGGTTTCATTGCCTCACCCTGTCTGGAACGTTAATTTACTTCTTCTCATATTTTCAGGTGGTTCCTGCAAAATACGACCCTCACAAAGGCTTTGAATTGAATACTACCGCAGTTAATCAAGGAGGATATTTCAAATGTGTCTATAGTGATAATATCACCTCTAACGAATTGGATTTATTGGTCGAAATTAGTAAGTTGTTTATTAACAGGAAGATTTGTTTTGTTTTGTTTGGGTACAAAAAATAAATAATAAAACTTTACGTTTTGAGGGTCAAAAATGTAATAACCCAATTTTTCACCCATAAAACTTGGTTCCGATGGTCCGATCTTGCTATTCATCAAACTCATTCAAGTTTATTCCTCCCCAAACCTCCAAGACCAAATCACATCAAAAATTACCCAAGTTATTGTGTTTACGAACATATATATTAGTTGCTGATAGGGAAATAAGTCCCAAAAAAAGCTCAAATTTAAAACAAATTATCGTAATATTCAAACATACTCAGAATCAATATCAATGTGCCTGGACTATCTGGATATAGATTAACCCTGCACACCATATATAAAAAAAAAAAAAAAAAAAAAAAAAAAAAAAAACTGTCACTTTGTTTTCTTTTGTTGGTGTTATTTACAATAAATAATAATTTGAATCACTCCAGAAGCTTAGCTCTGCCTAAGGCAGTAAACATATACCGTAATTGATTGTGAATAAATATTGGTTTAATAAGTTAGTTAGTCTTGTAAAGTCTATCCCATTATAGTAAAAATAGGCTTCTCAGAATGGAATTTTAAAAATTGTCAGCGTGAAATATGAAAAGGCATATAAAGGTCTGTTGGGATAAGCTTGATTTCCATTCTTACAACACCCATCTTTTATTAATCTTATTAGGGGTGTTGACAGCATTGTATTGGCAATATAGACCTTTATGTAGTTATGCATGGGTAAAATGTAAAACAATACCCCCGCTGCAGCAAACCTGCCGACTTAGAGAATTTCCATTTAACTGGATTTATTTTTAATTATTAATCTATTAAATTAACATTTTTATGTTTAATGAGTACCTAGGTTAGCTGCTACAGGGAAACTAAAAAAGTGTGTTTTTATTAAAATATCAATAGCTTAGTATGAAATAAATGAAAACGTCAAGTTTGATCAAAATTTATCCATAAACAAGCCAACTACAACACAACATATTATAATATTCTCCATAAGAATAACATCGAAATTTTAAATTAAAAATTTTTTTAATTTTCTCCGTAACCAATTATTGTACAAAAACACTTTGTAAATGGTCGGCATGCTGCCTGTGTTCTTTGTCATCAATGTTCACTCTGTATGACAATGGTGCTGTTTTCCTTAGCACTACCCCTTCTCTCCAATTTTCATTTGGATTCCGTTTCACCCAAACTTTATCACCTGCATTAAAGTCTTTACGTTTAGAGTGGATATCATGATAAAACTTTTGGCGTTCTGACGACTGTTTCATCTTTTCCTTCACGTCCGGTCTTAGGGTGTCAATCAAAGTTCTTGGGTTTCTTTTCAGGAAAAGTTCAGCTGGTGTCCGTCCAGTCGATGAATGTGGAGTTGTCCTGTATGAGAACAAAAGTGTATGGAGTCTTTGCTCGTGATCATTTATGTCAATCATGAGATACTTGTTTTGAAACGTCTGAATTACTCGTTCAACACAACCATTGGAACGACTGTGGTAAGGAGTGGTTCTGATGTGAATCACGTTATTACTGCGGCAAAACTCTCTAAATTCTTCTGAGACAAACTGATTTCCATTATCAGTAACAATTTGTTTCACAAGTCCATATCTACAGAAAAGTTCACGAAGTCGTCTTATCACAGTGTTGCTTGTAGCGTTTTTCATTGGAAATATTTCCAACCATCGAGAATATGCGTCTATTACCACTAACCACATGTATCCGTCAAAAGGTCCTTTGAAATCAATATGTAATCTTTCCCAAGCATTTTCCGGTATATTCCATGAATTGAGTGGCGTTTCCACATCATTTTTCCTGAATGTTTGGCATCTTGTACAAGTTTTCACTAAGTTTTCAATGTCATCATCTATTTTTGGCCAGTAAACATACAACATTGCCAAAGAGCGCATGGCAACTATTCCTGGGTGTGAAACGTGGAGGTAACTAAGAACGTCTCCTCTAAGGGACTTGGGAATTAATATTCTTTCTTGCCACAATAAAATCCCCTCTTCATAAGATAGTTCATGTCTCTTGTCATAGAATATCTTCAAATTGTCCGGAATTGAACTTCGATCGGGCCATCCCCTGACATAATAGGATATAATGTGTTTCAGTTCATCATCTCTGTGAGTGTTATCTTGAAGCGTACGTTTTGTAAGTGGCAAATCTTCAATTCTCATAGATCTTACTTGGTTTACTTCACCAAGCGTCTGATACGTATCAATATTTGTTCCTTCTTCTAAAGGTAATCTACTTAGACAATCTGCCAGAACATTATCTTTTCCAGCCCTGTAGTTTATATCGTAGTCGTATCCACTGAGGATAATAGCCCATCTTGCAAGTCTGGAAGCGGCATGTTTAGGTATAGGCTGCTTTGCCCCAAAGATTCGTTCAAGTGGTTTATGATCACACAAAAGAGTGAAATGTCTACCATAGAGATATTTGTAGAATTTCTCAACACCAAAGATAATGGCCAGTGCTTCCTTATCTATAGAAGAATAGTTCTGTTCTGCTGAATTTAATGTTCTTGAAGCGGCTGCAATTGGTTTCTGACTGCCATCAGGACAACGATGAAGGAGAACTGCTCCTAATCCAATATTGCAAGCATCTGTTGCAAGGATAAGTGGAAGTTTAGGATCATAATGTACAAGTACCATATTGTTTGAAATGTTGCTCTTAATATGGTTGAATGCGTCCTCACAGTCACTATTCCAGGCCCAAGTTGAGTTCTTGTGCAAAAGTCTGTGTAAAGGAAAACAAAGAGATTGCAAATTTGGAATAAATCTTGAATAGTAATTCACAGATCCAAGAAATGATCTAAGCTCAGAAACGTTCTTTGGTGGGGGTTGTTTCTTGATAGCTTCTACACGATCTTCAACAGGCTGAATACCCAGAGCACTAATTTTGTGCCCAAGATAAGTCACACTTTGTTTGAAAAGCTGTAGTTTATCTTCACGCGTGCATAGTCCTGCTCTCCTCAATATATTTAAAACTGTTTTGAGCCTATCAATGTGTTCTGGTCCACTTATACCGCCTACACATATGTCGTCAAAATACCACGCACAATCATCGATACCAACTAATAATTGATCCATCAGCTTTTGAAAAATCTTAGGTGCAGTCTTAATGCCAAAAGGTAATCGATTGAAGGTAAAATATCCTTTATGTGTCGCTACCACTAGATATTTTTTTGATTCTTCGTCCACTGGAATCTGTAGATACACATCCTTCAAATCAATAACTGAAAAAAATTTTGAACCATTCAACTTAAGCACTGTTTCTTCAAACGTAGGGATGCAGTATTCGTCATCGATTAAATGAGGGTTGATTGATACCTTGAAATCTGCACATAATCGTACCTCACCATTAGACTTCGGTACAACAACTAAAGGAGAAGCACAAAGGATCGGAGTAGTAGCCGGATCCACAGGTTCTAAGACCCCTGAGGACACTAAACGATCTAGTTCCTTGCTAGTTGCACTGTGTAATGCGAACGGAACAGGTCTCGGTTTGTGTATTGGCAATTGTACATCATTAGCTACTCCAACCTTAGCTTTGAAATTTTTCACTGTTCCTAGGTTATTGGTAATTATGTCTTTGAATTCTTTATATATCTTACGTTTCTCCCCCTCTTTGTCTATAATGTCCGTGTTAATATGATTGACGCTATAAGAATTTTGCTTACATACATGTTCACAGTTAGGATCTAGATTAAATGCTACAATCCAATCTTTACCAAACAAAGGTGTCCCTGAAACACTGTCAGTGACAGCAACACTTAATTGCAAAGTAGTTGAACCTAACGAAACAGCGACCTTAGTCTCGCCGAGCATAGGTATCCTAAATGACGGATAAGCACCCAGCTCCTCCGTAGGAGTCAGTGCCGGTTCACCAATTTGTTTCCACGTAGATTTACTAATTATAGTTCTTGCAGCAGCAGTGTCATATTCCATCGTTATTGGAACCCTATTTATTGTTAAATGAACAACGTAACAAAATTTCTCTACATTATTAATTTGACTTATGTTCTTTACCAAACCGGGAGGCTCAGCTCCTAGCTCATCAGATATGTCAGGACATCCGTCATTATTTTGACGGAAAAAGTCTACATTGCCACTATAATCACTCATTCCAGCAAACTTATCAATTTGTTTGACATAACGTCTTGAAAGATTTTTCTCAATGACGACATTATTGGATTTCAGACAAACTCGTTCAAAATGCCCCATTTTCCCACAAGCTCTACATTGAATATTCATTGCCTTGCAATACTCACCTGTTTTATGTTTTGCTAACCCACACCTCAAACACTGTGACTCAGGATTCAAGTTGATTCTAGTACTGTCCCTTTTGTTAGTAGTTCGTGTAGCCCCTACCTTATTTACCTGTGCGTCACATGAAAATGTCCCAAGTGTTTCTATTTGTTGTTGTTGAGAATGTGCCATTTCCATGAGGTAGGCGTCTAAAACGATGTCGACAAGTCTTGCTTTTTCCTCAGGATGTTTTCTGATGAGTTCTTCTTGCATTTTAGGACCATTTAAGCCCAATAAGAACTGGTCTCGCAGTCTTTCATCAAGTGTATCTTTAAACTCACATTCCGTGGCACCAGCTCTCAAATTGTTAACAAATATGCGTATAGATTGATCTTTGTTCTTCACGATTTTTCCAAATTTTAGTCTTTCGGCCAAATAGGATGTTTTTGGTTTATAGAAATTCGAAATAAACTCAACAATTTCCTCGTAGTCTACTGTTAAAATAGGTGTTGGATAAAAGTTATCAACCACAATTCTATAATGTTCAGCACCAATCCATTTCAGAAGTAAAATTCTTTTAGCTTCTTGATTGTGTTGTAATCCACAAACAATTATTTCCAACTCAAACCTTTGGTAGTAGTACTTCCATGTTTCTTTGGTAGCATCAAACTTCTCGAACTTGAAATGAGTTAAACTATGTGTAGTAGGTTGTTCCACTGTTAATGTAGATGATGTGTCGTCATTGTCATATTCCTCATGTCCGTGCAGCGCCATTATGTAACGTTATTACATTTAAAATAGAATAAAATATATGAATGAAGAATCTTTTATTGTCAAACATTTATATCAAAAGTAACAAGTAAACAAACATTGTTTTTTTGAAAACATCTGATTGAATTAAACTACAGAACAGTATTTCAGCATACATAACAAACTTTGATATACTAAATTATTTGTTTTTTTAAGCTCTTCAAAAAGGTCTGGAGAAAAATTTATAAATTTTGTGTTTTACGTGTAAAAAATGAGAAAAACCCCATTTTTACCCCATAAACCCCCCCCCCCATTAAACCCCGTTCCCATGGTCCGAAGATGCTGGTTCGCGAACTCATTAAAGTTTATCCCGCCTTACACCTTAAAACCAAATTTGATCAAAATCGGACAAAAATTACTCAAGTTATCGTGCGGATGGACACATATATGAATTCACAATATGACACACAAATGAACTTCGGGAATTTCACACCCTCCATCTTCTACACTCCATTTATCAACAGTAAAATTCCTAAGTATTTATCAGATAACTTCCATTTCATTTCTGACATCAGCACCCGTTCCACTCGTAGAGGCTCTCTTCTTTTATCTACACCAATTCGGTCAACAGTTTTTAATAAATCTTTCTTAGTATCTGCAATTCGAATGTGGAATTTTCTTCCTGACCATATAAAATCCATAGAGAACCCATATAATTGAACCATTCAACTTAAGCACTGTTTCTTCAAACGTAGGGATGCAGTATTCGTCATCGATTAAATGAGGGTTGATTGATACCTTGATAACCTACACTGATGATTGAAGGTACCAAGAAATGCCTACATACATGTTCATATGTATGTACATAACGTTTATATATCTTGAAGAACGTGAGGCAGCAAAGTGCCTCTTTGTTCACTAGTTACACAAATATCACGTAACGCGTAATCCATTGGTGTTCAAGGTTTGGGGCAGAGATAAAATCTATGATTTTGAGCAGCAGGCATGAATGAGTCTCTGGTGCTGGTGTGGCGGGTTGTTGGCGGCTTGTGTAAATGGACTTTTTGGATTTAAATTTAATTTCAACATGTTTATAATATGGTACTTTAGATTATTTAATTTTATTTATTTATAAAGTGGATAGTTTTATTTATGTTTTAGAGGTTAAGTGGTAGAGAGGACTTGCTAGTCCTAACTTCGCCTCTTAAATAAAGACATTTTTCATTTCATATATTTGCAAACTAAGATATATATATAGGTATACATATATACAAATCTGAACGAATGGTGTTTTTGGCCTCTGGGGACATCAAAATGAAAAAGTAAATCGGTCCCGGGCCTAGGTCTTACCATGATACCTACGGTAAAAGCTACTTCCCTATAGGGAAATTCGGTAAAAATACTAATTTATGAAGCAGAGTGTGGTGTAATAGTGGTTAAGTAGTTGTGGTGTTTCTTACAGGCAATAAGAAGGCCTTAGAGCAGCCTGAGGTCAACATCAGTCCCACTGATGTGATGGAGGGAGACAATGTAACTCTCAAATGTAAGATCAACCACGACAGCAACGTTACCATCAGCTGGGCCTTCCCCCACATCTTTCTAGAAACTGTAAGTAAATTTGGATGATGCAATAGCAAGACTGGACTAGCGCGACGTTGCAACATCGCCTGTTCACTAATTTTTGACATTAATTAAAATATACGAAACAATATTTTCAAATCAGCTGGTATTATTAGATTTGGCAACAGCGCGCGGTCCTCATTGGCTACTTCGAAGTCATGTGGTAAATAAGTTCCTCCGTCAACTGCAGACTCTCGTGGACCGTACTGTAGTTTTGATTCTGCCACACAGCTTATTGGTAATACATAAGAGATCTTCATTTGAATAAATAACTAGTGGCTTAACTTATAGATATAGAAGTTCCTAAAAGGCTCAAATGTAAAACAAATTATTTTAATATTTGAACAAACTAAGAATTAAATTATCTACGTGTCAGGATAGACATCTCAGTAAACCATGTCTTTTAATTCTCTTTGTTAGCTTTAGTTGTTGTTAATTTGATTATCTTGTGGTTAGTGAGAATACAATTGCTTCCCTGATTGGAATCTTCTAAATTGTCTTCGTGAAACATTATATATTATTAGTCTTTGGTAAAAACCACTATATATATTTTTTTTTCTTGATTTATTTAATTTTTTATGTCCCACCTTCACATCCTAAGACGCTAGTTCTAGCCCGGAATTGTTTTACACATTACTTCAGGCTAGTCCTAGAGGGTCCATTATCAAATGGATAAAATCCATTGGTGATTGGCGGGCTATAAACCCGGGACCTCGGGCATCGAAGCCCCACATTCTACCTAAGATCTATCTAAGATCAGCTAGCTTTCCCACCAACCACTCGATTAGCACTCTGACCCAGTTATCTATTTATCTTTCTATCTATCTACCTATAATAGGCTATTATAATATTGAGGTGGTGTCTGTTTGTCTTTCTGTCTCACTGTCACGACTAAAATACTAAACCGATATAGCCAAAATTTAAGCACATGGATGGTCCACATACCTATAGGAATGTCTTAGGCCTATTTAGTTCTCCGAGTTCATTTCGGGCTACGCCCAGTGGACATCCAAAGTTTTGAGGTGAGGTTTTCAAACGTAAATATTGATTGGTATCCATGGGTATTTACTCAGGGGAGGTATAGAAGAGGCTACGAAGACAGCTGAGGGCTTCTTATTAGCTGAGGGAACGCCATTACCGTAACAAAACGGTCGATAGCCATCGGCTTCGGTGGTCTAATGGATAGCGTATCGGGCTGATATACTGCAGGTCTCAGGTTCGAATCCCGCCGGTAGCATTAACTTTTTGTTCAAGATTTTTTTATTTTCAGCAAGTTTGGTTGGTTTGGTTTGGTTATTACAGTTTAATTTTATTATTAAGTCATTATAAAATTTTAATTGAGCAATTTCTAGTTTTATTTTATAAACAGAATTATTTTTCCAATTACTATAAACTTTTGTTATATTATTTCTTTATCAGCAAGTTTGGTTAGTTCGGTTAGGTTATGATAGTTAAATTTTATAATTAAAAATTAATAAAATTTAATTTTAGGCATTTATAATTTTATTTTATGAACAGAACTATTTTTGCGATTAGTAAACCTTCATTGCCAAAGTGCTCTCTACTACAGCGCTGTTCACGGAGGAATTTTGAACTAAATGCCTCTTTTGTACCTCCCCTAAGTCAGACCCGTATCCATGGCATAGTGAGAATACTCAAAATGCTTATGTTTTGATTGACGATTGACTTTTAAATGTAAACAAGTAGAACTGTCAAATGTTTACTTCATAATTTCAAATAGCTTGTCCAAATAAATTAAATATAATGTTTTGCACAACTATATGGTAGGTTTGGTTATTTGGTCTGGATTGTGTCGATTATGGAACACTATGTAAGGTTCCATAACAGATGTTGTATCAACCTAGTCTGTCTCCGATTTTTGAAAGTGTAGTCTTATTGATATATTTTTACAGAAACTATAGTAAAACTACCAAAACTAAGGAATACATGTTTTGAACTTATTTGATATTTTGATATTTGACGCAAAGAATCGCCTTACATAATTAAATATAAAGATAAGTAATATTGAGCTTTTCCTCTATGATTCCTGGTAAGTGTGTTGTAACTCTTTCTTTATAGTAGATTCTAAAAACCGCATTATTCTCTTCTGTATTCTCATCTTGTAACAAAGCTCGGGCAGAGCGAGTAATACATTTTCATTTTATAAATAATGCTAAAACCTGAAAAATTAGTAATGTATTTTTGTGCCCTATTTGTTCCGTATTCGTTTATGTTATGTCCTCAACAGAGCAAAAGAATACATCAACATGAGTTAAAGAAAGTCGTTAATGACGACTTCAACTACTTCCGGGAATTGACTCTGACTAACGCGTCCAAGCAAGATGAAGGAGAATACACCTGCAAAGTTGCCGATGACGCAGGCAATCAAAACAGCAAGTCCGTCAAACTATCTGTCAATCCAGCAGGTAACGCAACTCCATATGCTGTGAACCTTGTTGTTTAAAACATCTAAATTAAGGTTTATTGAGTGTTGTAAATGATGGGCTGTTTGATTTTAATATGACTTGTGTATGATAAAAATAAATTATCAATTATCAATTCAATTATTGAGATGGGGTCACACCTAGGTGTGTATTTTAATCCAAATGTTAGTGAAGGATGAGTGTAGAATAGAGTGAGATGATATTTTTAGCTTTTTTACTGCCAAATAACTTTAGTCTTTATAAAAAACGTACTTTGAAGTTGTGAGTTAGAAATTGTTCAACTTGAAAACAATAGGAGTATAACTGTAAAATTTGAGCTTCAACTTGATGTATTGTCACGACCAAAGGAAAAAAACAAGTCTTCAATAATTCCAGAGTAACACTCAATACCACAGTCGACTTCCCTCCCACAGAAGTCAGAAAGCACAGTTGTATTGTGGTCTGAATCAAACCCCTATATTGTTTAAAAGTTGTTTGGTATTCCCAGTTTCAAGAATAATTAATAATGTAAGAAAATATTGTGGTTGTCCAGTTCTGAAAGATTGGGGATATGAAGCTTGGTGTACATTTACATCACCAGGAGCACAATTCATGTATGTACATTATTTTTCCTACAGTCACCCGACAAAGTTGGCTTCCTTGTACTGTTAATAGTACAGAAAGCTGCTAATTGCTGCATATTTATACTTTGTCGTACGGTTTATACTTTGGCGCACATCAGGATTCCAACGAAACAACACAAAACAGCGTGGTTCTATGCACGTAATCCGTGTACGCTTGGAAATAGGTTCGCAACAAATAAAGACAACTAGTGTCCCTGTTGCTCGAAATCGAGCAATTGCTAAGTATTACAGGCGTTATTTTAAAACAAATAACATTCATAATTTTTTATGACTTTAAAGATTTGACTCAAAGCTTATGGATTACTCAAGATGTACATAACAGATCGATATAATCAACATTTCTTGTAAATGTAAGTAAGCATTGTAAGTAAATGCTTGTAGCAAACTAACTGTTGGATTAGCAAACTTATTGACTGTTGACAGTTAACATATGTTCTTCTTCTCACTTTTAATTTCTGACAACAGCTGGAGTTTCATAACACTATTTGTTTCCCATGTTAATCTTATGGAGAAATACAAAACTTTAAAGGGCCCCAGGGCCTCACTCTCTAATTATTTCCCATAAAAGAAAGTTTCCTGCACAACTTCACGTAACGCTCTTTCCAATGAAACCAAGAACATGTCAATCGGTTCAGTAGTTTGGGAGGAGTAGTTGTCACAAAATACCTGCTTGCGTATTAAATAAATATAGAATAGATAATACTATGAGCAGCTGATTGACTATTATAACTACGATTTAACCTGTCATTTCCTGTTAATAGTTTATGTTCTCTTTTCGGTATTTCTGAACTTTCTGGACTTTTCTTTTAAACGTTTTTAAAACATTCCTATGATCTTAATAAACAAGAAAATACCTTTAAAGCATTTTTTTTAGGCACAGACACCACTGCAAATTAAACAAATATACGGAACTATTTTCTCAAGTCACGGAGCACATTGCTTGTCGAGGAAAAAATAGCGGAGTAATACGGACCGGGGACTACTTTCTCTAGGGCACCTATTTTTGTTGCCAGCTGAACCTAAAAACGTGTTGTATAGTGTTTGAAAGACTAATTATTTATAGGCTTTATAGTGACTGTAGGAAAAATATAATATGTAACACGAGTGCAAAAGGCCTTTGCTTCACTCGAGATCATTCTAAACGTAAATGTTGCTCTCGTGTGCAGCAAAGTGCCTCTTTGTTCACTAGTTACACAAATAACTACTTCAAATTAATTTACAATAATTCGTTTATCTACATTTGGTTGACGGACAGTGCCACAGCGCAAGAGCTCAGTGCGGGACCGTGTGCGCGGAACACGGATGTTCCTCCAACCAAATTTAAATATCGTTCTGGTATTCTGTCCAAAAGTATGCCGGATTGAGTCGATCCATCGATGCCGTGACATTACAGCCTTTAATCACCACAACGGCAGTCTTGGAATTATGTAAATTTATGAGTTGTGCTCCTCATGATGGAAATGTACACCAAGCGCATATCGACTATCTTCAAGAACCTGAAAACTATAAGATTTTCTTAAATATATTGTCCTTTAATAAATACTAGAGGTCGTCCAGTGGTCGAAACTCGACCAAAAATATGTAATATACAGACTTTTTTATTTTCACCCTACACTGTAAATAAAACATGTGATTGGAGTTTCTTCCATTTGTTTTGATTTTCTGTTTATATTTCGTCACCAGCATGGCAACCCATAAGATCCATGTTAATTTTTCAAAATTTTTAATTCATTTTTTGTGCTTATTTTTTAGCCTATTTTAATTTATAAAGGAATTCTGCACATCTGCAGGAAAATATCTTTCCAACAGTATGCCTAGATTTTCCCTGCGATGCACACGAGCTGAGAAAAAAGGTTTTGAAGAAACATGCTTGCGTATTAATATATAGATGTTACACTTGTTACAATACAAAAAGAGATTTTTTTATCACTGAAAATGTTTTCAATACATTAGGTGTCCAACAGGAATAATTCTGACACAATCTGAAGGCAAACAATTAAACTTTTCGTATTCCTGTCCTATGATCAGCATTAGAGATTCAAAAGCTTGATTGAAAGCTATTCACTAGATATGTCTGGTTTCACGGTCATGTTAACTACACCTTGCGCTCATATTCCGATGTCAGTGTTAATGTCAGCAGATACAGCGAATCAATAAGGGACTGTCCTCCTCGATATCTTAGCTTGTGTATGACAATGTTAATGTCTGTCTCAGCCAAGGGTTCATTAGAGAGAAAATTTGGAGGGATGGAACACCGTGGGGGTGTCCAGGAAAATGTGTAAATTTGTCTGCCCATAGAAGAGGTTTTGAAGCATCCGACTAACTAAGTTTCAAATGATTTAGAGGGTATATTGTGAGTTCCCAGAGTGTAGTTTGGTTGATACTGCAGTCCTGGAGTCTTTTTAGAATTTAAGACAGATGAGCACAGAGCATGTGATCTAGTTCTCCAGTAATAAATTATCTAAATAATTATAGCTTTGAATTTTCCCGGTACTCCGGTATTTAAGAAGATGTTATATTGCTCCTCTGCCTCCTCACAGGATTGATCCCAATAACTTTGGACATAAGAGGTTACACTAGTGGAGGCAACAAGACATTTAAGAATGTTAATGTAATCCAAATTTTGGTCGATATCATAGCTCGACCTCCAACAACTATTCAGTGGTACGTGGAATATATTACTTGTTTCCATCTTTTTCAAAATATAATTACAAACATGAAAACGTGTCAAGGTAAGTGTTAATTTCATATTAAGTAATAATAGAGCTATAAATATACATATAGACTATCACTCGTATGTTTCCTATCCTATCGTGACAAATGTTTATTTGTTAGTAATTTATCTGTTCACTGATGGCTGTCCCATAACTTGAGATTCACGTGTGTGTGAGTCACTTGGAAGGTAACATGTTTAATAATATTTTGAGTTTTTAACTATTTTTTTATGGGGTTCAACAACAGTACTCAGATTTTTCCGTAAATTACCATAAGCCATTTTTACTTGAAACAGTTTCCAGGTTTAAAGTTAACCTGTTCAGAAACCAATTGGTGTATTTTAATGATTGATATATATTCTTTAGTCTTCTTTAGTTATTAGTTATTAGTAGTAGTTTAGTTATTAGTTCTTTATTCTGTAGCACACATTGCACTATTCCAATTAAACTCTCTTTGAAAAGTGTAACAAAATTAAATAAAAAGTAGGTGTTTCACCCCCCCCCCTTCCCATGATACGGGATTACTTGAAATACCCTTTTAAAATCTTTTTAAGGTATGATCATAACAAGAGTCGTATCAGTGGAACAGTTGAAAACGTAGAAGTTAAAAACAACCCTTCATTAGCCAACCTGACCATACATCAACCGACAATAAACAATACTGGAACTTACTACTTGGAAGTGAACAACTCCGCTTCATCAAGGACTGTTGATTTCACCGTACTGATTGAAGGTAAATGTAATTCACTAAACTCATTTTCTTCTTCAAATCTTTTTAACTAACTAAATGTATAATAACGCTTACAAAAGGACAGTTTAAAGAACTCTGCTGGTTAACCTAGTATCTTCAGGTAAAACATTATTATGTTATATAATTATGGCCACTCATATAGAAGATGGTTTTTTAGACTTCTTGGGAGCTACTTTGGTTTCTAACAGTTTTCTTTTGAAGCCCAAACATCTTTTTGCTTTGGAATAAATTTCCACACAATTATTTCGAATGGCATTAAAGATGAAAAATATAAGTGGCAAACTGTTGTTACGTTTTAGTCTCTGTTACTTGAGAAATTGACGTGGGAGGAAAAAAATCCCCTTATGATAATGATCCAGTGATATTATTGACAGGGGCTCCTAGCTTGCATCACAACAAAGAAAAGTCTGTAGTGTTCTACATGGTCAACTCATCACTCACTATAGACTGGGACGTGCAGGCTCTGCCTAGTCCCAACATGTCTTGTAACTCCACATCCTGCCCAGATTACCCTTCCTGCAGCAACTCTACACAGGCAAGTCCCTTGGTTGAATGAAGATAAGTAAAATCACTTTATTTAATTATTCTTTGTCAATCAATGTTCTAGGGAAAATGCAAATACTGTAGTCCAAATGTGTCTTTGACTCTTGATATCCACTCAGTTAGGTAAGTCCCAATAAAACAGAGAAAAAAGTTTCCAGTTCCTTTAATAAGAAATATTTTTTCTAACAACGGCAATAATTTCCTGATTAATATATTTTTATGAGGGTAGTTTTTTAGTAAGGGCAGTTTTTTCGTACAGCTTCGTAGTTCGCGTGTATCGTAATGAAGCTCCTCTCCGCTTACTGGCAACATTTGTGAACAGAAGACACCATTTGCAGCTCTGTAACTGAGGTGTAAAATCCGCTGTGTATTTTTGAAATGATTAAATAAAATTATCTCCCTTTGTGATTTACTGTGATAAGTTTGGGTACCCAACAAAAACACAATTCCTTCCAAAATGAACATTTCACAGCTATTTATAAACTCCCTTGCCCATATCCTCACTTCACTCTCACTCATTGCATTAGGGCCAGAAACGTCAGTCATCTGGCGAAGAATGTCGACACGGAATATGTTTCTTGAAATAAAATTTGTATCAGTGACCTCATCTTGCACGCGGCAGGAGATTCATAATAAAAAAATGATAAACACACTGTGAATTGAACACTTGAGCTAGAGAGCTGCAAATGTTGTCATTCTTTTCACAAATGATGCCAGTAAGCGACGAGAACCTTGTTGCGGCTTAAACGACGAATTTTGAAATACAAACAAACTGCCCTTACTTAAAAAACGGCCCTCGTATACAAAAACAATATCTTTAAGTCACCCACAGTAACTGAAATAGTTTTACAGTAAATGCATTAGATCCATGTTTTTCTGAAATTCCAATAGAGCGTAAAGTAAAACACTTAATTTTCACATACTCTTTTTCTCATAACTATTAACTATGTTGTTTTAACAGTTAGACAAAATATTAGCTGAGGAATATTACTGTACATATCTCATTTTGTTTATGCCGGGTTAACATCATTATATCCTATTCAAATTATTGTTGCATAAATCACACTTTAACAGCAACCGACAATAATACTTTCTCTAAGCTTTTTGACAACACTCACAGCATTTTTGCTTCCAGGAAAATCAAATACGACTGCAAGAAACTGATATCCGTACTTTGTTCAAGTACAGGATGGATATACTAGGAGATGATCCAGTTAGTCTGGAGTGTAAGGCTTGTAACAGTCTGGGATGTGCAAGTAAAGTAATGGAGATACTTGTTACAGGTAAACTTAACACCTGCTACTTGTAGTGTATACAATATTCCCATAGCTCCTATTTTGGCGCATTATGACCCAAATTTACCCTTGAGGTTAGCTACTGATAGTTCTGCCTACGGGGTCGGAAGTGTGTTAAGTCAAATGCAATCAGATGGATCTGAAAAACCTATTTGTTTTGCGTCAAGGACATTGTCTAAAGCCGAATCAAACTACTCTGTAATAGACAAAGAAGCTTTAGCTATTGTGTTTGCTGTTAAAAGATTTAATCAGTATTTGTTTGGTACAAAATTCACACTAGTAACAGACCACAAACCATTGTTGTCAATTTTTGGCCCTAAAAAGGGACTTCCGGCTTTTGCCGCTAGCAGATTACAGAGGTATGCTTTATTTTTAGCCAGCTATGATTTTGACATACAATATGTTTCCTCTCAGGGAAATGCTTCTGCAGATTGTTTATCTCGCTTACCTTTGCAAGCCAAACATGTTAACGATCAGTATGAGGAAAATCCTTATGTAGGAACCTATTTGCAATTTTTAGCGGAGGGAGATATTCCAATTAGTTTTGTTGATATTAAGAGGGAAACACAAAAAGACACCGAGTTAAGTAAGGTATTTGGCTATGTCTTGTACGGCTGGCCTAATGAGGTAAACGAAGAATTACGACCTTATTTCATAAGGCGGAGCGAACTAACTATTGAGCATGGCATATTAATGTGGGGTTATCGGGTTGTCATTCCAAAAATGTATAAAAGGGGACTGTTACAAGAATTACATTGTGGACATTTAGGGATAGTCAAAATGAAGGCTCTAGCCCGTTCTTATCTATGGTGGCCTTCAATAGATAAAGACATAGAAGAACTTGCCAATAGTTGCTCGCAATGTCTCATGGAACGTCAAAGCCCGTCAAGGTCATATTTACATGTATGGGAATACCCAAAGTCAGCGTGGCAACGATTACACATAGATTTTTTAGGCCCTATTAATTCAAAGTTGTATATGGTTGTAGTTGATGCTTATAGTAAATGGATAGAAGTAGAGGAGGTCAGTTCCACATCTGCCAAAGTAGTCATAAATAAATTGAGACCTATGTTTGCAAGGTTTGGAATTCCGGAACAGTGTGTCACAGACAATGGCCCTCCTTTTACATCCTGTGAATTTAGCAAGTTTCTTAAAGCTAATGGGGTTAGGCATACGCTGACACCACCTTACTTTCCCGCTAGTAATGGCCAGGCGGAAAATGCTGTAAAAACAGTAAAGAAAAGAATAAGAGGGGCTTTGTTTTCAAATCAAAATCCAGACTTAGCTTTAAGTAGATTTTTGTTGGCATATCGAAATGCAGTACATAATACAACCAATGAAACTCCAGCCAAACTAATGTTCGGTAGAGTATTGCGAACTACATTAGATTTGATACGTCCTTCTGTTAGTAAAACGGTTTTGTCAAACCAAAACAAACAAATTGTAAACAAAGGGGGAAGTCAAACTAGAGAACTGTCAATAGGACAGCCTGTTTTAGTTCGTGATTACAGGGGAAGAAATAAATGGACACAAGGTGTAGTGATTAAAATGTTAAGTCCTGTATCTTATTTAGTAAAATTAGACTCAGGTATTGTATGGAAGCGCCATATTGACCAGCTGGTCGGGTTAAACACTAAGGTAAATTTGAATGATCAACAGAATGACATTACTAGAGAGGTAGTGTTGCCTCCAGCTGAACACATGTTTGACCAGGATGTTGGTAACAATGCTCAGTCAGCTGGTCGGGCTTCACCCATGAGACCGGAAATGCCGAGTACACCTCGTACTCCAGGACGTAGTAAACGTAGTAGTACGCGCTCATCGCTTACTCCACCGGACGTGACCTTTACATCACCTGTACGATCAGCTGATCGACCCAAACAAGCATCGCCATTGAGGCGATCTGCCAGAGAAATAAAACCTCCTGAAAGGTTGAATTTGTAAATATTTATTTCTGTGTTTTGTTTCCAATTTTATCAAGGTTGTTTTGTTTTAATGTTTATTGTTTTGTATTATTTGATTGAATCATACAATATTGTTTTATGAAAAAGTGTTTTTTGTTTTAGGTTATTTAATGATTATTATTTAATTGGTTTGATGTGTTGATAAATATTGCGTATTTTAAGAAAAAAATATTTTAAACTTAAAGGGGAGGAAATGTAGTGTATACAATAATAATGTACCATAATGTTGCCATTTTTACGATATTTAGATTTCTGTTATAAAGAGTTGGCAATATGTTTTGCATTTGTGTCCTGACTGCGATCAGGCGACTGTGACGTCATATCGTAGTCAGGACACAAATGCAAAACATATTGCCAACTCTTTATAACAGAAATCTAAATATCGTAAAAATGGCAACATTATGGTACATTATTATTGTATACACTACACTACTATAAAAGTCAACAAACGGAAAAATATTCCAGCAATAGCTTTGTAAAACTTGGTAAAATCTAATTAGCTTAAGACTTTAATTAATTACTTCTTCACCATGTTTTTAGCAGTTTTGCAATAGTATATTTCATACCTAGAGCCGAAAACGAGGTTTAGTTTTAAGTTTGAGACGAAGTTGTAATAATAATAAATAGTTGTTAGGCAGCGGCGACAACGTAACAAACAATTCTCTTGCAATGCTATGGATACTGATTGTGTATTTAATATGCATTCATGTTTTAAGAAGGTAAGTGGGCAGATGATTTTGCAGCCCTAATGATGTAAAAATTATGTAAAAAAAAGAAGAAGGCATGTCCATTGATGTACCTGATGATGTAGCTGTAGAAAGAAAACAGTATGCGTTTTATGTGATTACTGTATAATGATTTATCACTACCCAATTGGTTCAATGTGTTTTACAAAATTTGTACCATAGTGCCTTTGAAATTTGTACTAATAAAACTTGTTCCTTTATTCAGGTTTGTACCTTTACTGAAATTATCTAAGTTAATCTACCTATTGAATTAAACTAGGCCTAAATTAAATATACAAAAGACAAAAATGACTAATCTGAAGGGTTTTACAAAACAAATTTATTTAATAATAGACTTACTTAAACACACTGTGAATTGTACACGTGAGCTAGAGAGCTTAACAAGCTCTCTAACATTGATATTAGAAACCCAATAAAATAAATTATTGGTAATTAAAATGTACCCTAATTGAGTTAGGGTGTAAACTCCTCAGAATAAAATAAAAACTGAGACACAACGGCAACGGCAACAGCAGACAGGCAACAGCTAAATAAAAATGAGTTCAGTTATATAAACATACAGTGGCGGACCCAGGATTTAATTTCGGGGGGGGGGGGGGGGCACCGGGGGGTCTGGGGGAATCCAGAAAAAGGGGGAATTAAAAAAAGTGGTATGTTGAACTCCATCAGTAAAAAAATAGAACAATGAGTTTTTAAGTTTAAATTACTTACATAAATCTTCTCAGGGAGGGGAACTCGGCTGACTCAAAAGATCTTTAATTATTTTAATTTACTTAGATATTTAATAATATATGCCAATGATTACAAGAAATAGGAATAATTAATTTATATTGCACTAAGGCTTGGATGGGTAAAGTAAATCGTCCAACAATTAATTGAATAGGCAATTAACAAAGGTTGAATTTAGTTCAAATTGTTTTTCTAATTTGAATATTCTTGATGGTATAGAGAGATATAGTTTTTTTTATTTGTAATTAAGTTTGATTGGATTGAAAATAAAATATGTCTTGGTTAAGAAATTTCTTGAAGTAGGATATAAGCCTAATAGTCACAAAATGGAGAGTTCTCACCAGGTTGGTTCTTCAGTTAGTAACAGTGTCAAATTAATACAAATCTTGATGTGGCAGTACAAATTTAAAATAGAAAAATAAAATATATATAAAGGCTAACCCTTCTGTTGTTAGTGTTAAATAATTTTCATCACTTTGACTTTATTTAAATGTTAGGGATTATACCCTCACTGAATTTAAAATGCTGAAGCTGCCATGTCCAAATAGAGAAGAAGGAATTTTTTGATTCCATACAAGATGTTCAAAGTTAATTGTTGAAGCCAACTGTCTTCTTTCTTCATTACTTGCACATGCACTACCGTAATAATCAGGCTTTTGGATTAATGTTGGGGTTTTAGAATTAATTTTTACTATATTAATAATTTTGGATGAAAGTTTTATTGCAACTATGGACTTAATTACAGGTTACAGGGTTTATTAACAATAATATTTGTTGAATATATACAATATATTTTAAAATGTGATGATGGTTTCTGAGGGGTGATTAAAGGATAATATAATTTAAATTTACTATAAATTTTCTGACAATTTATTTAAATAGGCTATATGGCGAATGGCGAATTTTGGTACAATAAAAGAAGTAGAATTATAATCACAATGAATGAATGAATTGAATAGGCTATAAATGACATGTAACATTGCAAGGTGAACAATAGTGTCACATTGTGTTGTATTTGTTACCATACTGTATATGTTGACAGATGAAGATGTAGAAGACGGCATGTCCATTGATGTACCTGATGAGGTAGCTGTGGGTGACAGGGTCGTTTTGAGATGTAGTGCTTCCAAATACATTTACACTACATACCCTGATTGGAGATTCAAGGAGAATGATGTAGTTTCTGCCATTATAGGTTTCTGATCTGTTTTTCTAGTAGTTAGGAGTTTAAAAGTTAAGCAAAAGTATTTAAACCTCTTAAAACAGGATGTTGTTTAATTCATTAGATTTTGTAGGTGATTGAACACGTGAAATAAATTAAAGTATCCTGTTAAAGGGATATTTGAATGAGATTGTCTAGTTAGGAATCTATTAGTCTCCTTACACAACACCACAGGATTGAAAATATTTTTTTGGTAATATTTTAAAGTTTTTACTTGTAGTAGGTAGCAGGAGACTGAGCATTACTCGGATTAAATTAAAAAATAAAAATAACCTGTATAAGTTGTTTTTATTAACTGCAGCTACAAAAAGGTATTGGTGATAACATAGGCCCTTTCAAGGGCTGTAGGGCGGAAATAGATTTTTTTTCCAGCCTTTTTGTGACCAATCGATTTAGGTGATTATGCTATATAAGCATGGATTTAATCCTGGATTTAATAACTGTTACTATACGGAAATTAACATAAAATTTATGTTAGGCTGTAGTGAAGTCACAATTTCACCTGGTTAATATAATATAACTGAAACATATGCCGGGCGAAGCTGACGGGTAACAGCTAAATAAAAATTAGTTCAGTTATATAAACTTACAGTGGCGGACCCAGGATTTTATTTCGTGAGGGGGGGGGGGGGCACCGGGGGCCTGGGGGGGGGAATCCAGAAAAAGGTGGATTTAAAAAAAATGTGGAATTTTAAAGCCTAAAACTTATTTTTATACACAGTTGACCTCTAAAATATCCTCAAGCTAATAGTATTTATTGTGCTAATAAAATATAAAATATTTGGGGGGGATATATCCCTCCCATCCCCACCTGGGACTGCCACTGTAAACATAAATGGGTAGCTCAGTGGCAGCAAGTAATCAAAGGCCAGGCGCACACAGGCGATTTTGAGTCGCGCAACAGTTGCCCGACTAAAATGTTCAACATTGTTTTAAATTGGAGTGCGCACACGAAGGAAACAGTCTGGGGACAGTCGCGCAACTGTTGCAACCGATGTTCCCGGACCCAATTTGCCAGCGACTGCTCTGCGACTGAATTGTTGCGGGACTGTCGCTCCAGGTTTGGTATCCATTGAAACAAGTGTAGATGCGCACACATGCAACTAAATAGTTGCTGTGTCGCTCAGTCTCACCCCAGGAATTCAACTACTCGTGGCCAGAACTGTCACTAGTGTTTGCTCTCTTGTTGTGTGAAGATTTTAGAAAATTGCAAGTATGAGTGTGCGTGGTGAGGATGTCGAACAATTAGTTGATGAAGTTGAGAAGAGGCCGACTATATTTAAAGTCATTGACTCTGTCCTTTCACAAGTCGCTCACTATATATATGGGATGAACCCAGTATCTTCTCTTTTTCTTTCGCGCGCGAAACTTCAGCAACAAAGCACATACTACGGCTGTATCATTGAAATCCATTCGGAACACTGTAACGAATGTATTTCCAACACGTCTCAAGACTAGATCCGCGACTAAAAAGTTGCCTGTGTGCGCACTCCAGCTCAACTGTCGCTAGACTTCAGAGTCTCCGAGAGAGTTGCGCAACAGTCCCCCGATAGTCGGGCAACTGTTGCGCAACTCAAAATCGCCTGTGTGCGCCTGGCCAAAAGGTCGCCAGTTCAATCTTGAGAAAATAAGTGTGTAGCTTGTTGATGGTTTGAAACTGGAAGCTGTCCTCTTTTAATAAATGGTCCTGACCAATGAAACAACTGGTCTTAGTCAGTACTGTAACAAAGAAAGCTTCACAAGGCATCACACTCCACTCTACACTCATCTTTCACTCATATGTGGGCTAAAAATATGCACATATAGTGTGGCGTCCCCATCTCAAAACAATATACACAAAATAAAAGTAATATAACTTTTTACTTCGCTTTGGTATAGCAACATTTTTAACAGTACACACGTTTTCTACAGACAGGTAGTTTAAGGTGTTTGGTAGTTAACCTTTTTTGTAACCTGTATATATACAGTAAAATATAACTTACTGTATATATAATACTGTTATAGTTCGAGGAATTATAAAATGTTATAAAATAAATTATAATTCAAAAAATTCTGGATACTTTAATACTTAATACTTTACTTTAATACTTTCTTATTAAATGGCGACCATACAAAGTAGGTATTTTAAGCCAAGTATGAATGGAGATGAGTGTAGGATGAGTGAATTATAGCTTTTGGTGGTGCTTACAAAACTATCTTGCAACCTGTTTTTGTTGTACAGAAAACAATACTTAAAGTTGCTTTTAAAAAACACTTTAGATATTCAACTGACGACCTTTTTGTAGAAACGGGAGTTTTGACAGTCAGACAGTTATTTTTAAAATTTATTTTAGTTCACATGTACAAAAACTTTGATAATATTTTTATAAAAATTACTCATCCCCACAATACGCGCTTTTCTCGAAATGTTGGTATAAATGTTCCACAAACTTTAAAATCATTTTCACATACGAATTGCTTTCACTTAACCCAAATTATTTATCGTAACATGTGTAACAGATATCAAAATGTCAACATTTTAAATTCACCCTCTCTCTCTCTATTTAAGAAGCATGTAGTAGCGTGGCTTGTAGGATTGAGTGCAGAGGACACCGAGGCCGTTATCGCGTTGGGCGGACCTGACCGTTGACCCTACACAATCACTGATACAACACCTTCACTGACTGACCAACACACCACACTCCACCTCTCCTCTCCAATCTTCACCAGATTTTTATAAATTTTCTCAGTTTTGTACAAAGAGTTTTTTATCGTCAATTTAATTCACAGAAGAAAACTAAACATTCAGTTTCAAGCAAGAAAATTTTTTTAAAATTTAGAATTATACGAATTATTTTTTGTTTTCCTATACATTTTTCTACCTCCCATCTAAATTAACCTTTTTCGCAACTCGAGTCTACGCACAGGCCCTGCCTATGTAGACTTTTTCCTTTGTTATAGAAGGTATTTTTTTTTGCACATTTTTCGTTTTATTTCTACAGAATATAATTTTTCTTTTGTTATCCAGTTAGTAATGTTTGCTGTATTATATTTAAGTAAAAAAAAATACAATGTAATTATATGTATATAATTTATGGGAAATAAAATATTATTTCATTTCATTTCATTTCATTTCCACTGAAATTTCATTTCATTTCATTTCAGTGGCACGATCTTGTAGTTTGTTAGTGACTTAAGGCCGACATTCGTTAGACACAGCTGTTAATTAATAGCCCATACAGCTAATGGCAACTAAAGGACCTACAGTTTATAGAGGAATCCGAACCACATTTTTGCCTTGGTATATACAAATTGGTCTAATTATCAGGATAGTACTGCGGATGATCGTAGTACTCACTCGTGCGTATTTGAGATCATATTTTGAGATCATTATTATATCAACAGTATCCGTATGTATCTGAATTACAGGTTGTATTTGAGACTTACCACTTAACTTAACTTACTTTACTTAACTTGAGATTGTCATTATGGTGAAATTAATATGTATTAACTCATGATTTATATTCTTAGACACACAAATAACAGAAGAAACAAAATATTCATATGTAAACAAGATACTCATACCTGAAGCGAGTAAAAATCACTCTGGGGAGTACATATGCTCTGCTATGTTACTTAATGAAAGAAACCAGACTCGTGAAACCAAAACTGCTTTAGATGTTAGAGGTAAGGCTTAAGTTTTCTTACTTTTAAGTGACACAGTTTTAGCAAGAAAGTTCAAGTTAGCTATATGATTTAATAATCACAATGAATTTTGGCCAACATTTAGCTGAAACTTTTATATTTACTAGCTCTATTATGATTGCTAATACAGTAGACTCCCTCTTATCCGGACTCCTCGGGACCGAGGCCAGTCCGGATAACGGGTTTTACGGTTAAACCGATGTCCCCAAAAACTCTTTAAAACGGACTGTTTACTGTGATATTCAACTTTAAAAAATTTATGAGAGCATTGTATTTAGACACGTGATCACTGGTCTCAAACATTTCCCGGAGAACAGTCGTTTCAGTACTGCCCACTTCCTGCCGATCTAGTCCGGTTAAACCAGTGTGCTGATAAAAATTGTCCGGTTAAAGAGATGTCATTTCCGCCGAGTGTAGTCCGGTTAAACCGATGTCCGGTTAAAAGGTGTCCGGATAAGAGGGAGTCTACTGTACTTTAATCAAATATGAGTTTCTTTATGAAACAAAAATAAATAACCCACTTCGATCTGTAAAAGTCGAGCCTACAGTAACTTCTGTTTCCTAAAATAAAGTACACACCTGAAATAACACAATTTTTGCCATGAGAAAAAAGTTGTAATACAGTTTTTAAATTTGAATCCAGTTATTTTGTAAAGAAATTATGAGAAACAAAATTTCGCGATAACTCAAGCAAGCAAAAATGATCCGATTTTGTAAAAATTTTGTACAAACGTATTTAAACCTACGTTTATTTAAACGAGTTTGCGAACCAGCATAATCGGGGTTTATGGGGTAAAAATGGGGTTTTCCCATTTTTGACCCTATAATAAAAACAATAGATTTTGAAATTCCTTTCTAAAACATTTTGTAGACTTTCAAAAAAGAAAATGATTTAGTATATTGATTGTTGTATTGTTGTACTGTTGTATCCCTAACGGTCACAGAGAAAATCTAAAAAAAGTTTAATTTAAAATTCCTGTTATTCCTATGGAGAAAATTAAATTTATTGTATAGTTTACTTGTTTATGGATATATTATGTTGATAAAATTTGGCAAGTTTATTTATTTCATCCTATACTATTGACATATGGTAAAAAAATACGTTTTACCTTCCGTAAACCTAAGCACTCGTTAAACGTAATGTTATTTAAATTGGGAAAACATATGTCTTATTTGTGGAAATATTTTAGTAAAAATGTAATCAGACAAGTTGAAATCCGCTTATTCTGCAGGTTTGCTGCGGCGGGGGTGTTTTAACATTTCCATGTAAATTCTGGTGTAATGGTGGATTGAGGCTTTAAAATACTGTATATCTACTAAATAACAATACAAATTTATAGTAAATACTGATGGAAAACTAAATTACTGTATTTATAAATTTGACAAAATAAAAATATTTTGCATTGTGTAATTTAGGCTTCAAAATATACAAAAATTATTATTATTTGCAGACTTGGAGAAGCCTTTGATCATTAAGGATGTGACCAAATTGATCGTCCCCATAGGCCAATTTTTGGTGGAACTACTTTGCATTGCCCAAGGATTCCCTACTCCCATCATTTCCTGGTACAAGGTAAGCTTTTCTCAGCTCTGTTGCTAACATCGTACTAAGAAGGTGCATTTAAAAAAGGGTTACCAAAATATCAAACAGTTCATAACATATCTCTGAAACCCCTGCCACATCAATCCTGCAGGCAAGCGAATTAGTTGATAATCAAGTTTTTCTTAGTTAGCTTAAATGAACCAAAATAATTCCTTTACCTATCTCGTCATACAGGACTCGTATGTTTAATTTTTAATAGGTTGTAATAATCATTTAGTTAAAGGGAGATACGAAAATGGTTATGCAGGTGACTGCTACACTGTTAAGATATTGGACAAAAGCTCATACCAGTTGTGTTGGAATAACATGTGAGTTTTCTTCTTGTATTTACAGAATGACGAGACGATTACGAAGGAGACACATGAGAACATTAGATTGCTGGATAATAACTGGAGGCTAGTGATCGAAAGTGTAGGTTTGGAAGACTACGGAAGTTACAGGTGTGAAGCCACTAACAAAGGAGGAACAGACGAATTGATAATAAACATTGAGAACTCAGGTAAAATTGTTTATAGACGAGCCTATTCAAACAATAGCTTGGTAGCTGAGTAGATACTTAGACAGGTGTTGGATCCGTACGTGTAACTAAGGTCATTAATAGAGGAGAATATTCCAGTGACCCCTACCCACCCGGTCAGGGGATAAGTAATTCTGCTCATTGATAGAGGAGAAAGTTCCAGTGACCTCTCCCCACCTGGTCAGGGGATAAGTAATTATGCTCATTGATAGAGGAGAAAGTTCCAGTTACCTCTCCCCACCCGGTTAGGGGATAAGTAATTATGCTCATTGATAGAGGAGAAAGATCCAGTGACCTCTCCCCACCCGGTTAGGGGATAAGTAATTATGCTCATTGATAGAGGAGAAAGTTCCAGTGACCCCTACCCACCCGGTCAGGGGATAAGTAATTATGCTCATTGATAGAGGAGAAAGTTCCAGTGACATCTCCCCACCCGGTCAGGGAATAAGTAATTATGCTCATTGATAGAGGAGAAAGTTCCAGTGACCTCTCCCCACCCGGTTAGGGGATAAGTAATTATGCTCATTGATAGAGGAGAAAGTTCCAGTGACCCCTACCCACCCGGTCAGGGGATAAGTAATTATGGTCATTGATAGAGGAGAAAGTTCCAGTGACCCCTACCCACCCGGTCAGGGGATAAGTAATAATGCTCATTGATAGAGGAGAAAGTTCCAGTGACCTCTCCCCACCCAATCAGGGGATAAGTAATTATGCTCATTGATAGAGGAGAAAGTTCCAGTGACCCCTACCCACCCGGTTAGGGGATAAGTAATTATGCTCATTGATAGAGGAGAAAGTTCCAGTGACCCCTACCCACCCGGTTAGGGGATAAGTAATTATGCTCATTGATAGAGGAGAAAGTTCCAGTTACCTCTCCCCACCCGGTCACGGGATAAGTAATTATGCTCATTGATAGAGGAGAAAGATCCAGTGACCTCTCCCCACCCGGTCAGGGGATAAGTAATTATGCTCATTGATAGAGGAGAAAGTTCCAGTGACCCCTACCCACCCGGTCAGGGGATAAGTAATTATGCTCATTGATAGGGGAGAAAGTTCCAGTTACCTCTCCCCACCCGGTTAGGGGATAAGTAATTATGCTCATTGATAGAGGAGAAAGTTCCAGTGACCTCTCCCCACCCGGTCAGGGGATAAGTAATTATGCTCATTGATAGAGGAGAAAGTTCCAGTGACCCCTACCCACCCGGTTAGGGGATAATTAATTATGCTCATTGATAGAGGAGAAAGTTCCAGTGACCCCTACCCACCCGGTCAGGGGATAAGTAATTATGCTCATTGATAGAGGAGAAAGTTCCAGTTACCTCTCCCCACCCGGTTAGGGGATAAGTAATTATGCTCATTGATAGAGGAGAAAGATCCAGTGACCTCTCCCCACCCGGTCAGGGGATAAGTAATTATGCTCATTGATAGAGGAGAAAGTTCCAGTGACCCCTACCCACCCGGTCAGGGGATAAGTAATTATGCTCATTGATAGAGGAGAAAGTTCCAGTTACCTCTCCCCACCCGGTTAGGGGATAAGTAATTATGCTCATTGATAGAGGAGAAAGTTCCAGTGACCTCTCCCCACCCAGTCAGGGGATAAGTAATTATGCTCATTGATAGAGGAGAAAGTTCCAGTGACCCCTACCCACCCGGTTAGGGGATAAGTAATTATGCTCATTGATAGAGGAGAAAGTTCCAGTGACCCCTACCCACCCGGTCAGGGGATAAGTAATTATGCTCATTGATAGAGGAGAAAGTTCCAGTTACCTCTCCCCACCCGGTTAGGGGATAAGTAATTATGCTCATTGATAGAGGAGAAAGATCCAGTGACCTCTCCCCACCCGGTTAGGGGATAAGTAATTATGCTCATTGATAGAGGAGAAAGTTCCAGTGACCCCTACCCACCCGGTCAGGGGATAAGTAATTATGCTCATTGATAGAGGAGAAAGTTCCAGTGACATCTCCCCACCCGGTCAGGGAATAAGTAATTATGCTCATTGATAGAGGAGAAAGTTCCAGTGACCTCTCCTCACCCGGTTAGGGGATAAGTAATTATGCTCATTGATAGAGGAGAAAGTTCCAGTGACCCCTACCCACCCGGTCAGGGGATAAGTAATTATGGTCATTGATAGAGGAGAAAGTTCCAGTGACCCCTACCCACCCGGTCAGGGGATAAGTAATTATGCTCATTGAAAGAGGAGAAAGTTCCTCTTAACCAGCCTTAAAGACACTCGTAGAAGTTTTACAGGCACTCACCAGGGCTGCTATCTTAAATTTTCTACTTGTGTCTTAAAGACTATGTGATCAGGGCCGGTTTAACCCATACGCGAACTACGCGGCCGCATATGGCGCCACGAAAAAGTGGCGCCGTGGCGCCAACGGAACAATTTTTTTTACGTTAACAACGTAATTTTGTATATTTTTGCTCAGAGTTCAAGTATTCAAAGCACCACAATAAAGGCATTTATTCTGTTTGTACCAACAGCACTTGAAAAATGTGTATATTTGTACAGCACTACAACTGAAGGACTCAATGCCATTTGCAGTTTCGATTTGTAGTGAGCTGACGCTCGGCAGTCGGCAGCGTACAGCGTATACAGCGCGGCGCCTGTGGGTTTCATTATTTCACGACTCGCTCATGCTCGAGATAAGCAAGCGCGCAGCGCCACTTGTCACGGATGGGCACACGGGAGGGACGATGGCTAAAGGTGTGGTGACGTCATATCTCTAGTGGCTATAATGTCTTCTCTTTAGGCGATATGAATACCGTAACGGGACAATGTGATTCCAGTGGCGTTCGTGGCATAATTGATAGCGCATCGGACTAGTGATCAGGAGGTCTCGAGTTTCAAGACCCGTCGAGAGGCTGACTTTTTTTCAAAGATTTTACTTTATTTGATTTTTATCTTATATCTTTTTTATATTATCAGCAAGTTTGGTTGGTTAGGTTAGGTTATGACAGTTTAATTTTATAATTAAAAAGTTAATTTTATTACTAAAAAATATAAAATTAATTTAAATTTTTCAACTTAGCGGTTCTAGTGGCGAACGCTGGCTGACACTATGTTAAGCCATCGTCCCTCCCGTGTGCCCCACCGCCACTTGACACAACATGAAACTTCCCTTCCCTCCCTTCTGCCTCTGGCTCTGATCCTAGAGCAGAGTATTACGTTGTATTGCACTCTTTTAAAGTTGTATACGTATACCGTATCGGTATCGTATTGGCATTGTTTTGATGATTCATGATTGTTGATAAGTATATGATTACGGGTGGTTTAAGTTTAATTTATAATTAGCGCATTAAATAAGAAGAAAGTATAAACTGAATGAATGAGCAAAACATCTTGCGAGCCGATACTAAGAAAACAATGGCAGAAAAAAAGAAACCGTCTGGCACTTATTATAGAAAGCGTAAGGCAAATTTGGAAGAGGAAGATAAAAAAAAAAACAAGCCAAATCAATGAGTAGATTTTTGTTTAAATCATCTGGTGGCGACCCCATTCAGCCCAAAGAAGTCACGATAGAAGACGGCAATGATTTAGGTATTTTATTTATTTATTTTCCAAGGAAAGATTAACACAAGCAGCTGATCACAAACGGCAAACATTATGTCATTGCCGTCTTCTATCGTGACGTCATGCTTGATGAGCATTAAAGCCTGTTTTTTTGTGTGGCCTTGGTTTTGCTAAAGTTTGTATGATGAGTAAAGTTGGAAAAATGTTAAATTTCTGTGAATAATAAACAGCCTTTTATTGCAAGTATTCTCCTAACCTAAACTTATTGAAAAATTCTTCCCAAAATTATTGGGAAAAAATTCACAAATACGGTTAAGTTATGTTCATGGTTTGGGGGGGGGGGGGGAGTTCTAAGTGGCGCTGATTCGGGTGTTCGCTTAACTCTGAAAAATTCCTAGAACCGGCCCTGTATGTGATCGTTGTGTAAACTACCATTCCCATTTTTTCCAACCCATAAATGATAAAATTAATCTTTATTGATCGATTAGTAACGTTGTGTTTCAATTGAAAAGTTACAATAGTTACAATATTAATTATTACAATTAGAAACATATTATTCTGTTCTATACAAAACACTTCATTAATAACTGTAACTACTATCCTATTGCTTATAGTTTTTTTTAAGTTTTGTGATATTAATATTTATATCGTAACAACAAGGTTTAGTAAACATTATTGGATTTTTTAGAACCTGGAATCATCATGTTCTCGATGTTCATTCCAAGAGCATATTTGATAATGATCCTATCGCCACTGATAGCTGTTGTACTGTTCGTTGCAATATTGGTTTACATCCTTAGGGTTCGTAGTCAGGTAAGAAGAAATTAATATATATTTTTCATCTGTAGGCCTATACCTAACATATCTTGGTACAACAACTTAAATGACTTATAACATTTGACTTACATACAATAGCTGCTCTACTACCAAAGTAATGCATATCAAAGTTTACTTCGTTTTAGTACATGTAGTACATCAACTTCAGTGGTATAGTGGGGGCCCATGTTAGTACATGTAGTACATAAACTTCAGTGGTATAGTGGGGGCCCATTTTAGTACATGTAGTACATCAACTTCAGTGGTATAGTGGGGGCCCATGTTAGTACATGTAGTACATGAACTTCAGTGGTATAGTGGGGGCCCATTTTAGTACATGTAGTACACGAACTTCAGTGGTATAGTGGGGGCCCATGCTAGTACATGTAGTACATGAACTTCAGTGGGGGCCCATTTTAGTACATGTAGTACATGAACTTCAGTGGTATAGTGGGGACCCATGCTAGTACATGTAGTACATGAACTTCAGTGGGGGCCCATTTTAGTACATGTAGTACATGAACTTCAGTGGTATAGTGGGGGCCCATGCTAGTACATGTAGTACATGAACTTCAGTGGGGGCCCATTTTAGTACATGTAGTACACGAACTTCAGTGGTATAGTGGGGGCCCATGCTAGTACATGTAGTGCATGAACTTCAGTGGGGGCCCATTTTAGTACATGTAGTACACATGAACTTCAGTGGTATAGTGGGGGCGGACAAATTCATGACTACACCATTGTATGAACTTGTCCACTGAGCCACTGGAGCTGAAGTTCAGAGAATACATTTTGTCTTATATTGATAAAATGCAGGGCTAGTGAATATAAGTTGTTGATTGGTACAAAAATAAGAAACCAAGATTTTTTCATAAAGTAGTGAGAGTGATTTTTTAAATAGCAACAATGCACATCCCCATATATATGTTTATGACCCTTCCACATTCTACAGTTTTACTATAAAGAGCTGTTAGATTAAACCGAAGCCTCACTCTTGTTTGTGGATAGACAAGGGAGAATATAGTAATTTCTTAAGCACTGTTACGCTCATATTAAGAGTAGTTGGTTAGTGATGGTCATCCAAAGTTTAAAGGTTTGGATAATCCTATACTAGTAAATAAAGTTTTTTGCGTGTTAATATGTTTGCTATATAACATACAATTGTGCTGCAGAGAGCAATGATGATGATGAAGGAAAATTTTGCAATGTTGAATCCGAACATAAAATATGAGGAATCAATCAATCCAGAAATTGATATAGCAGAGCAAGTGCATCTTTTGCCTTATGATGGAAACAAGTGGAATTTTCCCCGAAGTAAACTGAAACTAGGTAGGTTTTTGTGGTATCGCTCACAAACTATTTTACAGGTTAATGGAATATTAATACATTGAAATAACTTTATTCAATAGAGTAGGGGTATTCAGCTATGTTTTAAAAAGTAAACATAAAAAGGCTCAAAAATAATAAATTAAAACCATGACAAACTTAAATAATATGCAAATACTTACATCACTGGTAGATAAGTTTAAATGTGCAAACAAAAATTAAAACAGTTAATCGTATAGTCATTATAAAAAAAAACTTTAGATCACCTCAGTTTTTAGTAAACTTGACAGGAAAGGTTGGAAGGCTTTTTATAAGAGAGTTTACTTCAATTGTATTCTATCTTTTCAGTTAAATTATTTCCCTAGTAGCAAAAATACATATGAATTTTATATTTGAAATATATTTTGTATATCAAAAGTGCGTAGTGACTCTTTTATATAATAATATTAAAATATATTAAACATAAAAAATATGTTTTTGAATCTATTGAATATTAAAACAATATGTCCCAATAATATATTTTGGAGAATAATATTTAAAAAATGTATATAATATCAATTCCAAACATCCCATGGGGCCTAAACATAAAAACACAAAATAATAAAGATTTAGTAGGTATGAAAAGCACAATTATCAGTTGATTAAATATTTCATAAAAACAAATTTTGAAAAAACTAGAAACTTTTTTGGTCCAGATGGGTCTCGAACCTGGGTCCTTCAACTTATGAACCTCTTACCTTACCTCTAGGCTATCTGTGGTTGTTGATAGTCTAAGTTTTCAAATGGTGAAAGAGTAATACAGTTGCAATGGTTGCAATAGTTAACATATTTTTGATACTACAGTATAATATGGTTCTGTTAATCTGTTTAGGCATCAAGTACAGCTCGTGACATCTAAGCTGGCACTTGGCCGATCGCTAGGCCTACTAGTATCTAGTTCAAAAACATTATGTCTCTTCATGCGGGTTGCATCAACTGTCCTCGCAACCCATATGAAGGCGCTCACGTACACAATACAAGGGGAGTCAACCCCGTGAGGCGGCGGAAATGTTTGCAGTCCGGACTTTTTCCTACCTCCAACCTCCTCCTGCCAACACTGCCCGCGCTAGGCCAAGTGCCAGCTTAGATGTCACGAGCTGTAGTTGAGTTGAAGTTGAATAATGCTGTAGTGAATAGTGAGTAGTGCCCACGAATACACATACAGTAAACTAAAAAAATTTATTTAAAAACTATAACATATATCATGTAATTTATGACATAAGTAAATCAAATAATTATTTTTAAAATGCCATATACAACCGTAATTAGTTTCTTAAAAGGTCACCAGTCACTAGCACCCTTTTTCATCATTCTAGATTAAGTTCTGATAAGTGCACGTTGAGATATGAGCGATGTTTTAGAACGTGGCACTGTGCTGGGATCTGGAGAGTTTGGAGTGGTGTTAAAGGCGAAAGCTTACGGGATAGTGGAATCAGGAGTTGCAACTACAGTTGCCGTCAAAAAGGTCAAACGTCACTCGGACCGTACATTGGTCGAAGCTTTCGCCTTGGAACTCAAGATGATGATATATCTAGGGAGTCATCGCAACGTAGCGAATGTCTTAGGAGCCTGCACTGACGGTAAGAATAAGTTATATGTCAGATCATTTAACATGTTCTTTATAAACTCAATGTGACCAAGACATAAACTCTTATGTATATGATACATCTTCTTTTTAGAGAATTTCCCATGTAGGGAATAAGCTAATACCGTAGTACTCATGGTAAGACCATAGATCTCTATATGGTAAGACCTGGGCCCGGTGACGATTTAATTTTTTGTTTTGAGGTCCCTAGAGACCAAAAACACCATCCGTTCAAATTCACACACATATATATATATATATTTATCTATATATATAAAAGGCAAAGCCCTCACTGACTCACTCATCACTAATTCTCCCACTTCCCATTTACCTAGGAAGCTGAAATTTGGTACACTGATTCTTTAGGCATTAAATAGGAAAACTAAGCTATTTTTATTCTGATCGGACTCTCGGGCTCCGCCCCAGTGGCTCTGGAGTTTCCCATGTTAACCTTATGAGTACTCATATTTAAATGGAATTAATGAATCTTAACAGCTGTTTCAATTAAACAAGTTGGTTCTGTTCTATGATGTCCAATTAGCATTTAAGTTACAAGGATTACCAACAGGGTGCAGCACACTATTATTTTTTTAAATTTATGACTACAGACATCTAATTTGCAACCAAAAGGTGAGTGAGCGTAGCGAACGAACTTCAACCTGGAGGCGAGTTAGCGTAGCAAACGAGCTAACCTGAAGACAAGTGAGCGCAGCGAACGAGCTCCAACCTAAAGGTGAGTGAGCGTAGCGAACGAACTTCAACCAGGACGTGATTGAGCCATGCGAATGAGCTCACTTATGAAGTAAAACGGGGCAAAGCCCGCGGGTACAGCTAGTATGTATATATAGGCCTATATAAATATTTTTTTTTTTTTTTTTTTTAAAGAGGTTGGCGACCTCTTTTAACCTTGCATTTGCCCGTCCACATAGACTAAGCGCCCGTGCGTGGACCGTTTACAGCAAAGCAGGGAGTGAGCCGGTACAGTGCAAAGGTGAACTGTACTGATAAAATGTTATCGGCAGTGACCAGGATCCGAACCCACGACACTACTGCCTCGAGCCCGAAGTCCGCGACGCTACCGACTGAGCCACCGACTCACTTAATATATGTGTCCGTTAGCGCGATAACTCGAGCAAAAATTATCCGATTTTGATTAAATTTGGTACAAACGTGTAAACCTACGTTTCTTCAAACGCGTTCGCAATCCAGCATAATCGGATCATGTGAACGGGGGTTTATGGGGGGTTTTATGGGGTAAAAATTGGGTTTTCCCATTTTTGACCCTAAAAACAAAAAATTTTGCAATTTCTTACTAAAGCGTTTTGTTGAGCTTAAAATAAAAATAGTTTAGTATATTGAAGCGCTGTTGTATGCCTAACGGTTACGGAGAAAATTCAAAATTCATTTACTTGTTTTTGGATATATATTGATAAAATTTGGCAAATTTATTTATTTTATCCTATACTATTGTATGGTCAAAAAACACTTTTTACCTTCCCCGTAGCAGCAAACATAAGCACTCATTAAATCTAATCATCATATCATCTTCTATACTTATAAAAGGCAAAGCCCTCACTGACTCACTCACTCACTCACTCACTCACTCATCACTAATTCTCCCACTTCCCATTTACCTAGGAGGCTGAAATTCGGTACACCGATTCTTTGGGCATTAAATAGGAAAACTAAGCAGTTTTTATTCTGGTCGGGCTTTTGGCTCCACCCAAGAGGCTCTCGAGTTTCCCATGTTAACCTTATGAGTACTCATATTTAAATGGAATTAAAGAATCTTAACAGTTGATTCTGTGACGCTCAATAGCATTAAAGAGTTAATAGGTTTACCAACAGGGTGCAGCACTATTATTTTTTTACATTTATGACAACAGCTTGCAACCAAAAGGTGAGTGAGCGTAGCGAACAAACTTCCACCTGGAGGCGAGTTAGCGTAGCGAACGAGCTAACCCGAAGGCAAGTGAGCTCAGCGAACGAGCTCCAACCTAAAGCTGAGTAAGCGTAGCAAACGAACTTCAATCAGGACATGATTGAGCTATGCAAACGAGCTCATCTTGAAAATTAATGAGCATTGACATATTTCTCATTTCAATTTCATCATTAAACAAAAACATGTTACACACATTTTTGAATGGAATAAATTTGTTCAGTTTTTGCTGCAGATATATGTTTGACTGTTTGACGTAAACGCGATACTTTTTTCTTTTGCTGTTTTGTGACCTAACATTCTCATCACACAGTGAAAAAACAATTGCGTTTACATCAAACATAGGTCTGTGGAAAAAATTTCTATATATTTCAAGAAACTGGCAACTAAAAAGGTGCGTTTTATAATGGTGAGTGTATGGGCTGAGGTGGCTTCTGCCAGTCTGGAGTGGTGGGGGGGGGGGGGGGGAGCAAGACTGTGCGGCTGAATGAATTGTTTATATAACGTTGTGCAGACCTACTTCATTTTCATATTCTGAGAGCGATTTCTGACTCCACTGATTTCTAAGAATGATATTCTTAATGTGTGTTTTTTTTTTTAGATTTGGGGGTTGGTATTGGTGCGGTATCCTGTATACAAAGGATATTATAGTTTTAAAATGAATAAACCCTAACAATGCATTTTGAGTTGGTTTACATGCTACTTTACGTTGCATCAATAAAACTCACCATACTACAGGTTATGATGTTGTACCTGTTTTTTTAAACATATATTTCTCTTTGCCTATTGATTGGTTCCAGGAGAGTTAATGGTAATCGTGGAATATTGTGAGTACGGCTGTCTGGGTGACTATATATGGAAATATAGAGACAACTTTATCAAACAAGAGAAACATACATGCAGACAATGTGGCTCTAACTACAATAAAGACACAACTTCAGATTCTGTAAGGTATTTGGACAATCTGTTACAACAATAGATGGAAAGTTACACTCTCGTTATTTGAATTTTAATTATTGAACCTTTTGAGCTCCCAATAAAACTGCCTTTACAATATTATTTTACTAGCAAGGTTGTTGATTTTTTGCTTCTACAAGGAGCTTCTTCAGAAGAAGGAGGTTGAAACTATTATTTCTTTTGCGTTGTTGGGACGAAATACCTATCAAGTGTATTGGGTTGTGATTTTTTTTAGCAAATTTCCCTAGTAAAAGGAAGAGGAAGTAGCTATTACCGTAGGTGGCACAGTAAGACCTGGTCTCGGGACCGATTTACTTTTTCATTTTGATGCCCCCAGAGGCAAAATCACTATTTGTTTAAATTTTTATATGTTCCAATTTTGACCAAATCATACAATTAGATAATCAATAGTTAACAAACTTCCAAATCCCATTTCTTTAAAAATCATCTGATAACTATTCACATATCATTACACAAAAATATTATTTAAACAAAGTTAAATATTTGGTATTTATTTATTGAAGTTTGAAAATGGACTTAGTCCAAAACATATCATTTTATGAAAAAATATATTAATTTCAGGGTGCTCAGTTGTTTTTGATTTACTACCATTATTATATGTGTCCGTGAACGCAATAACTCAAGTAATTCTGGTCTGATTTCAATTAAATTTGGCTTGAAGGTGTAGGGCAGAATGAAGCTGAATGAGTCCAAGAACCACCGAGATCGGATCATAGGAATAGGGTATTACGTGGTTTTGAAAGTTCCAAAAATTTCAAATTTTTGCTCTTAAAACATGAAAGAAATTCCCAATTTTCAATGCAAAAATTGTTTAGATCTTAAAAACATATAAAAACGTAAAATTAAAGGCTACAGAAAAAATTCCATAAAACTGTAAATTAAATTTTAAGATTCCTATATTATTCTTAGGGAGAAAAAGAAAACTGTTGTGGTTTGCTCGTTTATGGATATATATTGATCAAATTTAGCAAATTTATTTATTTCATACCATTACATTTGGACTAAAACACCGTAGCAGCAAACCTAAGTACTCGGTTATTTAAATGGGAAACAAAATGAATTTCCTTCTTGTTTGAGGAAATATTTTAGTAGAAATCCAATCAGACAATTCAATTGAAATTTGCTTAGTCTGAACACTTGCTGCAGCGGGGGAATTGGGTTCTTTTCCAGGTACTTACCTGGAACTCTTTTCTTACACAAGGTAGATGGGTAGCTAATCAGTGGGGCCGTAAGGAACCGCCCCCCCCCACAAGTTTGTTCACCCCCTTCTAAGATTATTGGGCCCCCTCTCCCAATAGTCTTTAAAAACATTATCACAGGTATTTCCAACTAAGTTTGCACTTGGACTTGGCACGGCATCTCCCGAGGCATCGAGGCGTCATAATCGGTCCATGATCGCGGCAAAATCCTGAATATCTTCATAGGTCACAGAAACATTATTGTCTACTACCTAACATCAAATCGTCTAACATTAAATCCTAAATATCTTCCGTGGAAAAAGAAACGTCGTCATCGTCTTCTGATAGCGTCAAAATCATTAATATCTCGCACAGTCATGGAAATATTAATATCCTCTTCCACTATCACAGCAAAATCCTGAATGTCTTTCGCGGTCAAGTGGACATCATTATCGTCTTCCGTAATCGCGGCAAATATATACAATATCCATTTTATGTATTGTACTATAACTATGTGGCACAGCTATCTTATAGTTTATGCTGTATATTTTAGCTATACATACAAGCTATTTCAAAAATATAAGCAGCAAAAACTGTTGATATAATATTTATATTTTTGAAGTGAGATTTAACTACCAGTAATTCATCTTTTTTAAGGTCTAACAAATTCTAAAGGCTGTAATCTCACGGTTTACTGTAAAAATCAAAATCCATTTATTCGAGAAAATATTAGGTCTTGTGTCTGTATGTTTGGTGGAGATGATTGTGTAATTTATTTAATACTTTTAGGCAAACCAAAAATAATCTTTCGAGTAAAAAAAATAATAGTTCTGAATTTACTTTTTTCAGCAATCTATTAATAGACTTATCTGATGAAGCTGATGTTTCTGAAGCTACTGACTTGCATAGTCTGAATAAAGTAGCAGGTAAGTGTAGTGATTCATCTTTATAACTTGGTCAGTTGAGTGTATAGAAATCTGTGGTACATTTAACTACTGGCAAAGGTTCATAAACAAAATAGATATAGATTTGGAGAATACATTCTAATATCTTGGAGGATATAATATATGCTTAAACTGTCTCGAGAAATTTGCAATATGGCTAAAGATTAATTATTCGTTTATCTTTTTAGTTGCCAAATTTTAAATTACTGCTTTGTCATAAGCACAATAATGTAGTTATAGTGCAGACAGAAAAAATTATACAGAGTGTCCCATAAGAAATCAGCCAAACTCTTGAAAATGGTTTTACGTGTTAAAATAAAACTAAGATCAAGAATAACATTTATTCCACTCGGTAGCGAGATATTCACCAATTTTGAATTGTAGCATTTAAAATGTATACCTTTAAAATGTATACCTCCAAAACTATTAACTGTTTTTACTTTTTCTCATAAAACCCCATAAAATAACGAAAAAAATGGATTTCCAAAAAACGGCCCGAACGATTTTGATAAAAATTTTGTATGTTATAATCCTTTAAATTCTGAGCAAAATTGTGCAAATCACATTTCTGTATATTTACTCTCACCGCTTACACATGACGAAGGTTGTTGACAATGGGAAAAAGTATGTGTCAGAATTCTGATACCGTTTATTTTTTATTAATCCCGCTGTGAATCATAGGTATAGCAACTAGTTATCAATACAATGTTCTCTTTATAAATAGATTAGACTTCAGTTTACAGTAAATAGACCCGCTTTAAACTACCATGGAACTCCCCTTTTCTTGTAATCTATGGAGACTAACGTTTTCATACTTTTGTAGTAGTAAAACTTCTGGCCAGAGCGGGTATATATATTTTTGTTATGAACCACACAGCAAACTAACATAGGAAGTTGAAATTAATTTTAAAACAATGGCAAGAAGTAATTTTGCCGATGAAAATAGTTCCAATTAATACATATGCTTGCCTATTAATATATACATACTTGTTTTGTTAATACAATTTGTTTGTGTTTGTTAGTGTTTCGCTTAGTAAATTTTTCTCCCTAAACAAGAACGAAATGAAAATTACAAAAAATTAAGTTCCATGTTACAGTAGCATTTTTAAATATAGTTATGTATGTAGCTGAAGATGAATACTGCAAGAACTGCTTAATCAACTGGAGTTATCAAGTGGCAGCAGGGATGGAGTATGTGGCATCCAAGGGGGTAAGCAGTTCATAGAGGTCATAGATCTGACAAATACAAGGGCTACTCAGAAAGTGAACTACGTTTTGGAGTGAAACAAATAGTTTGTACGAGAAAAAAGATTGTATGATATCAGTGGCAGGCCCAGGGGGGTGTGGGACTGATATTTGCCCCCTGAAATATTGTATATTTTATTAGCTAACATAAATACTATTGGCTTGAGCATATTTTAGGGTTCAAATACTGTATGTATAAAAATATGTTTTTAGGCTTTAAATTCCACACTCAATGATGTATTGTTTAAGTAATAGATTTGTCACTCAAAATGTATAATTTTCTTAAATCCAAAATTGAGTTACACACAATAAAGGATTTTATAAATAAGTTCTATTGTTGGCTGACCAATAGCCCGTTTTACAGCTTGGATGATTTTTTAAACAATAAGATTATTCAGTTGTAATATGTAAAAATAAGTATTTTAACATGTCTCCTTTTCTTTGTCAGCTTTATTACATACATAACTAACTAAGCTATAATTTTAGCATTGTTGATAATTTGTAAAAATGCAAAAGACAACAGAGAATGTTTCCTTTCATCTCATGGTTTTAGTCCAAACTAATATCAACTCTTGTTGTAGGTTGTACACGGGGATCTTGCTCTTAGGAACATTTTATTGGCAGAGAACAATGTTGTCAAAATATGTGACTTTGGTCTCTCAAAACGTATTTACCAAAATGCTCAATACATGAAGAAAAACAAAAATGTGAGTAAGCCTGTAATTTTTACAAACAAAAATATTATGATGTTAATCCACAGGTAACACCCAACAACTATTAACAGCTATGTTTTCTGTGCTAAGGCCGACATGCTCCTTAGAAAGGACTGATTATTCATCATACAGCCCATACAACCAATGGCAACTAAGGACCTACAGTTTAAAGTGGTCCTCACCCCGTTGCGGGGCACAGGTACAGCGGCTAGTTAACAATCAAATTATACCTACTGCAAACACAACATAGACTTTGTTACCAAAAGCTACAAAGAGTGTCAAGACCTGGGATGCGTCTTTGCGGGTCTCAGGGTCCTAGAAAATGTTAAATATTTCACTAAATTTTGTGTAATTAATAAGTTTTATTTCAATCACTGAAAAAACGTTTAGGTAACTTGATTATTAGTTTACAGATTAAGTTTAACACTGTACATTCAATTTGCACCAGACTCTTAAAATAAGTGTTATGACTTTGCAGCTACGCTTGCCATTGAAGTGGATGGCATTGGAGTCTATCTTGTACGAGAAGTACACGTCCAAGTCAGACGTGTGGTCGTACGGCATCGTGTTGTGGGAAATCTTCTCCCTGTCCGGCTCTCCATATGCTGGTAAAGAAATTTTACATTTTAGAAAGTGTTCTAAAGAGAAAGAAGATGAAACCATTGCTAGTCCAGCAATTTGTATGAATTGGTGTGAAAAAGGACCAACTAGGCATTCTTACAGCATTCTTGTTTTTATCACATACAAATCACTACAGTAGCATATAAACTATAGTTCTTTATATTAAGAATATGAATTAAACTGCTCACTAATCAAGATCTGAATCCTATTAGGGGATTGTTAACCTCTTTAATGAATTAGAAGAAAGGGGTATTAAGATTAAATTGTTATTTCAAAATCAATGATGAATGTATAACTATTTCATACAGCAGTCCAAAATGACCATCATTATTCTCTTTTGCATTCTCTTTCCCGTTGTGAAGTACTGTGAAGTGCCGTTGTATAATTACTTGTTTAAAAGACTTAGAAATTCACTTAGAATACAGGTTTCTACTTTGGTGTTCAATTGAGAAAAGAAACAATGGAGGCGGGACTGTAAGGTCTGCTCCTCATCAAATTAATGGGGGGCGGAATCGTAATCCCCCACAGGTTAGTGACGTCACAATGACGTCTCATTTTCTCGATCAAAACAGCTTGTATGGGCTGGAATTGTACCCCCCTCATTAACCTTTAATATTGTTATGCACGAGTGGTTCGATTGAATCCACTGTCAACTAAAAAGCTGTAGGGACCGGAATCGGAGACATGTTAAAATGTTAACAAACTAAACAAAACAAAGACCTAACTCATACAATTTAGTATATTTCCAACAAATATTTCCAACAATATACTACATTAGCGTGAGATGAAGGCAAAACACTACTCACCGGACTCACAAGGTTGTATTATTTACTATTGTTATATTTTTATCTATTTAGATTGTATAGCATTAAAAAAGCCTACTTACGACGTATCCAAATTGAATTTGGGCTTTGTCTTGTGTATTTTCGAAGTTTGAAGGTGAGTAAAAGTAAAATTTCATGAACAAGTTTTAAGACATAAGACATGTTTATTTCCAGTAGACATATTAAGTTAATATATTATTACAGTATGATACAGTATTATAAAAACAAACTAAGCAAAAGTGTAATCAGGTAGTTCATGGTTTAAAGAAAATTAATAAAATATCCATATAGTCCGAGGCGAAGTAAAGTGGTAAAGCCAAATGGTTGGACAATCTCTTCCAGCCCGTACACAATCCAAGCTACCTGTCCAAGAGCAAGAGGGGGTACAATTCCGGGGGGTACAATTCCACACTGTACACATTTGGCTATCTGATGGAGGGTGCAATTCCGGGCCGTACATCTCCTGCTCTTTTTAATTTCTAATATAATTATTCGGTTCACTGATCACTTGACCACATTAAATAGATTAGATTCCGTTCAAATCAAAGTGTACGGAGTGGAATTGTAACCCCCCCTAGCCCTGGCGTCAAAATGACGTCAACGATCGGTGGGGGATGCAATTCCAGGGAGGTACAATTCCGGCGACCCAAATTAATTACATGTTTGATATCTTACAGACTGGGAACTTGATGGAAAATTCAAGGCAAAGCTAATAGGTGGTGAGAGAATGAAAAAGCCTACTTATGCACCAAATCACGTGTGAGTTGAAATTCATTGTTATTTAAACTGAAGGTTAGTGTATTAAGCATGTTAACTCTCTTGTTGTTTATTGAGAGCGGTGCACCGTCTGCCTTGGACAAAAAGACCCCAAGACCAAATTTGAGTGTAAAACCTTAAGACCCAATGTGCCAGGGGCAAATGTAAAATATTTGTGAAGTGTGTTTAAAATGACTTCTAGACCAACCACTGGACGAGGATATGTAGATTTAATCATGAAAAAATTAAGGGTTCAAACTATTAATTAAAATTAACTAATTGAAGGATATGGTAGAATCATAAAATTTATGTAACAATATGAGAAAATGAATATAGATATTATTGTAAGATTAAACCACTTACGTCAAATAGCTTAATACTGGATTATGAGTCTCAATCAGTACATGTTTTGACACCGTCCAGTATTGAGGTATTTGACGTAAGTAATTTAATCTTACAATAATATCTACAGCTCAGGGGCTTAACAATGAATTTAAATAGATATTATGTCTAAAGTGTAAAGAGCTAGATATCAAAAAATATTTTTATAACCATTTTTATTTGGGTGTCCACTAGACACCCACGCGCGCTCCCGCGTGAAAAAAAACTATAAACTATAAAGTAGGTAGGTATAGTAAAGTATAGGTTTAGTATAAAACTATAAAGCCCTCTCTTTCAGGGCCAGTTATAATATAATATACTATATTAATAATGCCATAAAGCGGCAAAAATGGTCTTATCAGAAGTGCATACTTACAGTATGTACTACACTGTTGTGTTAGGAACACAATCCCAACTTGTTTTACTGACTGAAATTACCGAGTCAGACTCAGTGGTGTTGGGAAGAGGGCTTAGGGCTGCACCCGGTTACTAAACTTGACAGTAATGTAGTTGGCTCACTCATCTCTCTATGTTTCAGGTATGACATTATGATGAACTGTTGGGAACGTAACCCTAACTCACGACCGTCATTTACTGAGATAATGGAAAAGATGTTACCTAATAATAGTGAATTGGTAATATTTTTATCATGTAGTTGTAATAGTTGTGTAAATGGTGGTAGTAAAAATATTGTCCTGAGGTAATAATTTTTTTATTTTTATGAATTATTGTTTTATATTGTTTTTTTATTATGATATTAGATGATAAGAATTAAAGTGTTAATCATTATAAACAACTTTTAGAGATGCCTCTGGTACCCATATACAAGGAAGACATACATTTTAGAGTATCTAATACATACTATAATAGTGACCTATAATGGCATAATGGGCATAATGGGCCATAATGGGTTTTAAGCCAACAAACATTCTTGAAATTTCACCAAAGAGGGACAACAATTAACTAATATGCAGTAAAGAAGCTAATTTTACTTGAGATTATTAGTTTCTACATTTGCTAGTTATAAAGGAGAGCCAAATTCATTTTGTTCGGCAAAAAAAGGAAAATATCAGGCAAAATGTGTATCACCGAAGAGTTGTTAAATCTATGATTAAATAATCTAAAAATAAATAAACATATCCCTAGTAGCACAAATATGTATTTTATAAATATTTTATATATTTAAAGTTGTATTTGATAGAACTTTGAATAAAATATATAAATAATATATCTTTAATAACAGTTTGATATATTCAAATATATATTTAAAATATTACCAAAAAGCAATGAAAAATATAAATTAAATATAAGTTTTGAATATATAAAATAGATTCATAATATATATTGATCAAATAAGTATAGAATCTATAATATACATATTTTATATTTATATTTTTCCTATTAAATATTTAAAAAAATTATTTGTTGAGAATATTTTAAATATATATATAAAATATTTTTGAAACTATATTATATATTTAAAGTATTTATAAATATATTTTGAAACACGTCATTTATTTTTATTAATAAAATAATCATATATTTGTAGAATATAGGCTATAGCCTATAATCTTTTATAATAAGCAAATAAATAATTTGCATCTTTTTGTTTTTTATAGTGTCTATCAACTCATACATGCATTTTTTGTATGATAATTGCTATTGTGAAAGTGTTAAAATTAAGTTAATAATTATACGTACTCTGAATGGTGTCACTCTATCATGCACGTAAAGAAAAAAATATGCATATAGTTAAGAGGCAGTATACAGGTTCGGCAGCTACATTTGGGTCAAACGAAAAAAAAGTGTTGATGGGTTTAATTTTTAAATTGCAATATGTGACAATGAATGTGATCATAGAAATCTCTAATGATTGGCTAGAAAAGGGTGCTAGCGACTGGCGACCGTTTAAGAAACGAATTACGGAAAAACAGATTAACAGAATCATATTATACTGTAGTATCAAAAGATTTTCAAGCATTGCAACCATTGCAACTGACGGCCGCTCTTTCACCATCAAACTATGCTAGCAACAGTCACAAGTAGCTCAGAGGTAAGGTAAGAGGCTCATAAGTCGAAGGACCCAGGTTCGAGACCCACCCGGGCTAAAAAATTTTATCCAGTAATTTTTTCAAAATTTGTTTTTATGAACTATTTAATCAATTTACTCAACTGATAATTGTGTTTTTCATACTAAATCTTCATAATTTTATGTTTTTATAATTAGGCCTCATGGGATGTTTGGAAGAGATATTAAATACATTTTTTATTTAAATATTATTCACTAAAATATATTATTGGAACATATTTTTTAAATATTTAATAGATTCAAAAACATATATTATATATATATAATATATTTTAAATATTATATAAAATTGACATTTATACACACTTGAGATATATAAAATAGATTTTAAATATATTTATTCATATGTATTTAATATATATTTGTGCTACTAGGGACCTGAGTAAAATATCCTCAAGTGAGGGTTTTTAGTTTGAAGTTTTTTTTGGAGATGGTTAGTTATCCAAGGGATTATTGTGGACATTTTCCATTACGTAAAAAATAATTCATAATATTTCTGCACACATACTGGGGGGCAAGAGGGACAGCAACTCCCCCCCTAGCTTTTAGGGAAAGAGAAAAATAGATGCGTTATATGTAGGAAACATATTTTTATCAAAACATCATCAAATAACTTGGTAAATAGCTTCTCCAAAAGGATTCAAACTAGAGTATTTTTATAGTCACTAAGGCTGTTATCTTTTCAAAAGAATATGAGGTCTGTTCAAAAAGTATCCAATCTTGTTCAGGTAAAGCATAATTTATTGCTCGATTTGTTTTAACATGTGATCTCATTCAAAATAGTCTCCTTGGGACTTAACACACTTATTCCAGTGCTCCTGCCACTTTTGGAAACAAGCCTGGAACTCTTCATCTTAATGGATTTAAAATGAGATCTCACATTTTCTCATTCTTTTCTGAAATCGGGTCCCTTTGGGTGGCATCTTAAAGGTGAAGAACAGCCAGAAGTCACACGGTACCATATCTAGCGAGTAGGGTGCCTGTCGTAGCACAGGAATCACATGTTTTGCCAAGAAGCCTTGAAAGAGATTGGAAGAATGTGCTGGAGCATTGTCCTGATCAAGCCACCAAGAGTTTATGGCCCACAAATCGATACGCTTGTGACACACTGCATCGCACATTCGGCATAGACTTCTAGCTTGTTGACAGTCTCCCAGAGCGGGATGCACTGTCCACCGAAGTGCGGCCATCTTTGAACCAATCTTTTATCTGCGTTGTTACACCCATAGCGTGTTTTCCAAAGGCTTGCTGAATCTTAAGACTCGTTTCATTTGGGTATCACCCAGTTTTTGGCAAGATTTCATGCAGTATTGCTGTTCCCCCGTTTTGACATTTTGCTTAGCACAAAAACACGACAGCTACACACAATGTACACAGATAATATAGTTTGGTGGCCGACAATAAACCGACACCATGTAAAGGTCACGTGACGTGCCTTACAGTTGCCTCTATCTGCACGCCAGGGTGCAGCTCAATGCCGTTGTTGGATTACTAGATATAATGTAAGGTTGAATACTTTTTGAACAGACATTGTATACAATTAAAATATAATATATTCATGTCCAGCACTCCTATCAATATTATAAGGGCGCCCATGAAGAGCTGGAATCTAAAATTTTCTTCAGCTGAAAAAGTAACTCAAACATACCAATGTGGATTACAAATCCAGCCAAAGCTGGAAAATCACTATATAAAGGAAACCGGCACAGAGAACTGCGATTGTCGAAATAAGAAAGAAAAACAATAATTTGGCCGAATAGAGAGTGGATAACATTATGAACAGTCTCTTGAACGTTTAGTATAAATTAAAAGTTTGCTTACTTTTGTCAACATGCTTTTTTGAGTATTCTGTGATTTATTTTGCTTTTAGTCTGCCTCCAAGACAAAAGTTTTAACATTCAAATAGTTTTGCCTTTTGTCCGGCTCTAACACATGTTTTGGGGTCTTCAATATAAACATGTGCTTTATTATTATTTTTGTTTTTTTTAAATGTTCTGTTGATGTTAAAGAAATACAACTGTTTTTGCTCAATCATTGGCTACACTTTACTTTACGTCCTACACTCATTTGAATGAAAATATCGATTATTCTATTGTTTCATTCGATATATAGTTTGGTTAGTTAGGTTAGGTTAACCTTTCCTAACTAACCAAACGATATAACTTATCGAATAATCGATATATCGATCGATATTTTCATTCGAATGAGTGTAGGACGTAAAGTAAAGTGCAGCCCGATCATTTTTACACTTCATTATTTTGTGATTTTTCTCTATTGAAGTATCTAACAAGTTCTAAGTATTTTTCCTCTCTCTTCACTATTGATATATAACCTCAAGAAAAACCAAGATTACAAAGAATAAGTTCAAGGTAAAATCTCTTAACTTTCCTATTCCATACTACCATTGACTATTACTACTCAAGCCTAAAGCCCTAAAGGTAAATTATATTCTCCACTCTCTAATCATTCCATGCATTAAGGTTGCAACAGTAAATATTGTTTCAATCATTTTAGCTTCTGGATTGCTTTTAATTGATATTATAAGGCCTTACCTCAGCAATCCTGTTTCTTCTAACAAAATAGGATTTTTAAAAACAGGATTGCTAAGGTAAGGCCTTATAATATCAAATAAATATTGTTTGCTTAATTTTGACTATGAGAACTTAATTCAATCGTATCTAATATTACGAGTCTTAAGTATTTATCTAGTAGTAATTGATTTTTTGTGCAGTTATACGTAGAAATGAACTCCCAGCATGAATATGTCAACACCGGTGCAACTCAAGTTTCCTGCAGTACTTCAACTGTCATCAGTAATGCTGGGTACATGGTCATGGAGCCCGCTGCCTCGGGTTGGTAATCAGACTATTTAATGTACAAGCGTGAATTGTAAGCTGTGTATTACGGGGTAGCAGATTTTTATCCCCCTGGAATTTTACCCCCTGGCCAGATATATAAATTAGTGAGAATGATTAATTATCTTCATTCTGTTTTAATTTAATAGTAAACATTATAATAAAATGTTGAAGCCAACTGTTAAATTAATATGACGTATAAACAAACATCAGAATGGTAATAAGATTTAAGATTGGTTAAGATTTCTTTAACGATTTATTATACAACTGTGGTAAAACAATGTTTTTAGTTTGTATTGTAACAATAACAAAATATGCCTTATTGTTTCTATACGATAAATGTTCAACTATAATTTAAATGAGCTACTCAGTTTATTTTACATACTTATTAACCAACAGTTGGCCCCAAACGCAAATCCCGAACATCAAAATTAAACAGCGAATTCTATGAACGTTATTCCTTTTAAAATAACGCCTCTAATACTTAGAAATTGCTCGAATTCGAGCAACAGGGACACTAGTTCTAATAAAATCCAACTTCTTTGAACAATGGTTTGTTTTTTATTTGAACCAAAACTACTTTTATGGGACTCTTTGTTTATAGAACCGGATGATTGAGCTATGTTTGGTTGTTTTTTTACTTATTTCAAGGACAATAGAGTTGTTTTAATAACTATGATGTTATTTCTAACAGTTTTGATTACATAATATACATTTAGTTCATTTGTAAATGTCTCATTTATATGCATTTTTTGTCATTGCTGACAACTAGCTCATTTCCCAATAAAAATAACCGCGAATATCCGCTTTCTTGTAAACCACCCTCACGCCAAGCTTGATCTGACATCCGCTGGACAAAAATTAGTGCCAACCCAACGGACATCACGTCGGACAGATCACGCTGGCGTGATCTTGGAAACCATAGCTTTATAAAGAAGACAATATTTTTTGCTTACTTTTAACCTCTGCTTTTATACTAATTAGATTGCCAAAATTACTGCTCTATTCTTAGGTGCAGGTGATCTTGGCTTTGTAACGAACAACCAATTGTCTTTAAACAAAAAGCTAAGATTCGAATATCAGACTATGAATCCACCTCACCACTGAAGCTGTGAAGGGCCAAGTGACAAAGAGTATTATTTATAGCCTATTGCTCAACTTGAGATAGGACCTTTAGGTTTGCAACCGTGTAACCAAAACCGTCAAAATCAGTATCACCTGATGGCCCTCTAGGCGATTTGACCGTTTATTTAGAAATTTTTATTAAAAAAGAAAATACTCGTAAATTGTAAGCTTTCTAGCTTTCTGGCAGTTTAATATTGCTTTTAAACATTAAGATTGTGTTTCAGGAAACAACCGTCTGAACGATAATCCTGTGCATTGCATCTTCAATCCAAGTTACTTGATCGTAGAACGTCCAAACAGCAATCCAAGTGCAAATGAAGACGTCAATGAACAATGTACGGAATCTGTATAAGAACAACAATTATTAATTAAAACGTGTTTTGTTTGTAGATAAAAAAAGCTGACATAAAGTGCATGAATAGACTGAGCAAAGTAACAACATTAAAAAATAAAACTGATCAATTTCCTATTTTAGTTCTGTCAATTTTGACATCATTGACTAGTCTGATTTTAAATTTTTAAGTCAAACTTTCATTAAACACTCTTGTTTTTCTTAGCTAAATAAATTAATAGTATATTTCATCACTAGGGCAAAAAGTGACTCTTTTTGACCCAAGCTCAAGTCTTATGATCGGCAAAGCCGAGGTCGGAAAATGAGCGAGGGTTGAAAAGACACTATTTGACCATGTGTTGAACTATATTTTTTGTCATATTGCTCCATTATTTGAACAAACTAAGTTACAAAACCAAAATGGTTTTCATTTGAAGATAACCACTCAAAACTACTTTTAACTTGTTTTCATTATGATTTTCTGATGGAAACAAGAAGCTTTTTAGTAATTGATTCAATCGTTTTGTCTATTAGGAATATGTTAGTGTACATTATACTATCGATATGTCAAACTATTTAGAATAAGTCAACAAGCTAAAATTGATTATACAATTGATTCATATACTTTTATGCAAAATGTACGACTGAGTTGACAACAGCTGATTTTTTACTAGGGGCTAAAAACGCTTTATACTCTCTAGAGTAATAAATAATTATACTTTAGACCCGAAACGCATGTACAATGGCTGTTTTTGATGCAGTACCAATATGACAAAAATGTATTTTACATACTGAAAAGATCTTCATTAGGTATTTGATGTAAATTTATTTATTTATGATAAACTCTTTTTTATTTATAATAAATTTATGATAACGATTTTGGATTGAGGTCCTCAATTTAAAGAAGAGCCACTCAGTAACTAATGTTAATTGCTCCTCATTAATTGTTAATACTTGTTTACTATAAGTAGGTACAATCATAGAAACTGCCCTACATTAGTAAAGTTTTGTTCAAATATTTGGCAAGGGTTTACCTTTAAGTTAAAAATGTAATATCTTAATTTAATTATCTGAATAGCTGTTTGAAAACAGGTTTACATCTTTTAGCAAACAGTCAAATATTTGTTTTTAATTCAAGCAGCTTAATTCCAGTACATGATTGGTGACATTGATTATTTATTAAGTCTAATACTGTGTCATTATTGGTATTAAGGCATTACTTATATATGTAAATATATTTTCTGAACCATTTAGCTCTATAGGACTAACTCCCTATTTTCATTATTAATTAATTGTTATTTTACTTACAGCTTCATATAAACTTCATATCAGGATTTTTAAAGTTGGTGAATTTTGTACTTTGTGCCAATTGGGTATTAAAATACTTCAATCTCTTATAATGCAGATAAAAAAAAAATATATTAATGATATATATATATATACATATATACAGGGTACGGCAAAAAACCGATCCATTTTCTGCGAGCACTGTTCCGCGACAAGTTGGGTCAGACTCGTTGAAAAGCCTACACTCTGCCATTATCTTTAGTCATAGAGCAGTGGATGCCTGAGCTCCACGTTTGTTATCGAGTTGTATTTAAAAAGGAATGATTGAGCCATTGCAAATCAGCGGCAGTTCCGAGTTCCGTGCATTCTTTTAATTAGGGCAACGTGGAGAAGTTCCGTCGCGTACCACAATCATGCGGTGGGTTACTGCTTTAGAACAACGGCTTCTGCGTTCAAAAAGAAGCTGACAGGCCCAAAATCAGAACGGACGCCAGACAACTAACATTTGACAGAGTGCTTGTTGCTGTGGAAAACAGTCCTCTTAGGTCCACCCGAAAATAAGCGTCTTCTTTGATCATGTCTGACCGCTTGGTTACAAAATTGTTGAGGTTCGATCTTAATTTTCATCCATACAGATTAATTTATATAATTCTGTTTAATTTTGTTGATTATCCATACAGATAATCGCGTCGGAACCTCTCCATGATGATCTAATTGAAGAATGCACGGAGCTGCTGCTGAGTTGCAATGACTGAATCAACTTATTTTACAACTAGATAACAAACGCATGTTGCTCAGGTGACCACTGTTCCATGACTACAGAGAATGGCAGTGTTTAGGCTTTCCAAGAGCCTAACCCCACCACCCTCAGCCAACCTGTTGCTGAATAGTGTGCTGCAAAAAAGATCGGTTTTTTGTCGCACCCTGTATTTTCATGATGATACTTGTTTCATCGACGAGAATAGATTTCAAAGGATTAATTTTTTTTATCCAAATTTATTTTACAATCTGTTCATAAGAATATGAGAACAATAAGTAAAAAAATTAACAAAAACAATGGCAGGAAGCAAGCACCTGTTCATCAACAAGTCTTGCCAAAAGTTTGATCAAACATTTAAAGAGTTATGGAAATCTGTAGCTCAGGTCCAACCATCGATCTCTATTGTTGTAATAATAGAGATCGATGGGTCCAACACATGCACAACACTTTTTAGTCTGGTAATGCACTGAATATTGTCCAGATTAACAGCAAGACTGTTCGAATGATATCCTAATTTTTCCTGGTACCTTTTGCTATGGTCTGTAATTTCTTCTTTTACTGATTTAATTTTGAAGTCATTCCTAATTGTAATGTTAGATACGAACCAGAGTGCCCCAATAATTCTTCTCAGCGTCTTAGCCTGAAATCGTTCAAGAATTTCGATGTTGGATTTGCTCGAGGTCTACGGAAAAAAGGCTTAACGTACAAGGATGAAATAAAATTATTTCCCACTAAATCGATCCCAAGGAATAACTTAAAAATACTTTTAACATTTGTCAAATACAGGGTGTGCCAAAAACTGAGGGTCACTAGTTCGAATTTCGGAACTTTCAAATGTAAACATATGTCATGTTATACATTATTTTAAAGGTATTTAATAGACAAACATTTTCGCGAAATCAGAAATTAATTATCTTTTTTCGTTTCAAAATGGCGGCAGTTTTTTTGAAAAAAACTATATTTTTTTAATACTCTGTGTTTCCTATACCAATGCATTTAGCCCTTCTCTGGTTGAATTTTCTTACTCGTTATGAAATTAGCTATACTGTGATATGCGACAAGTAACGGTTTATTGAAATAATAAAAATTTTAAAAAAATCATTTTTTGAAAATTTGCAAATGCTCATTGTTCAAAATTACAAGTGACACATCATTTATAGGTTTATTAATTCCTAACAACTTACGTCGTATCGACACCCTGTATAAAGTTATCCGGAGAAGGGCTAAATGCATTGGTATAGAAAACACAGAGTATAAAAAATATAATTTTTTTTTTTTAAACTGCCGCCATTTTGAAACGGAACCAGATAATAAATTTGTTTCCGCCAAAATGTTTGTCCATCAAATACCTTTAAAATGGTGTATAACATGACATATGTTTACTTTGGAAAATTCCGAGATTCGAACTAGTGACCCTCAGTTTTTGGCACACCCTGTATTTAAAAGAAGTTAAAAATATTTTTACGTTTATGCCTTGGGGTCGATTTAGTGGGAAATAATTTTATTTCATCCTTGTACGTTAAGCCGTTTTTCCGTAATCAATTTGAGACACCTCTTGTAGTAAAATTTTTTTAGTCAATGATAATTTTGAATTCGTACCTCGTAGCCAATTGAGTTCACAAATTGTTAATTCCATAATACCAAGTAGTCCAGGAGCTGAGGGGGTTTGAGCATGCATGAAAGTAGTACGCAATGTTATTGCTGATTATTGTAATATGGACTGTGGTGATCAAAATTACGTATGTCGCCTATTTCAAAAGTGGTCGATAAGGTGGGGGGGAGGGGGCAAACATGGCGGTTTGCGCTATGCGTTAAAACGCTGATAGTTCGAAAACAGTAAAAGATAGAACATCGGTTAAAACGTCGTTGGAATTCTAAAGATGTGGACAACAGTAATGGTTATTGGGTCCGAGGTCGTATCTCTATAAATAAACAAGTTATTGTATAAAATATGTAAAAATGGACTTTTCGTGTAGTTTTTTAACCTAAAGTAGAATTAATTTGTGAGTGTCGCAAAGAAGTAATATCAAATATCTTTGCTGATAGTTGTAATATGGACTGTGGTGATAAAAAATACGCATGTCGCCTACTTTTCAGGTGGTCGAGAACTTGGGGGGAGGGGGGCAAAGATGGCGGAACGCGCTATGCATCGAGACGACTGTAGCTCGAGAACGGTACGAGATAGGACATCGGTTAAAACGTAGTTTTAATCCAAAAAATATAACGAATAGAAAAGGTCATTGGGTAAAAAGTTGTATCTTAACTAATAAAAAAGTTATAACAATAATAAGTTTAACAAAATCTACATCGTACAGCTATTTTTATAATAGCTTATAATAATAATACAACAACTTTACAATAATAATTGGATTTGTAGTGGTAGTCTGTATTATGCATTTGATTGCGGCGAAACCCCAAGTATTATATGTAGTTTGGAGGCCGTGTTTTACATTTTAAACCAAATGTATTCGTAATAAAATATTTTTTTCTTATAAGAAAATGCATCTAGTTAATATATAGCCGAGTAATTAAGGAATTACACTATTATTTATCAACAATCCATACGATTTTCGAAAAAAATAGCTGTACAATGTAGATTTTGTTAAACTTATTATTGTTATAACTATTTTATTAGTTAAGATACAACTTTTTACCCAATGACCTTTTCTATTGGTAATATTTTTTGGATTAAAACTATGTTTTAACCGATGTCCTATCTCGTACCGTTCTCGAGCTACAGTTGTCTCGATGCATAGCGCGTTCCACCATCTTTGCCCCTCTCCCACCAAGTTCTCGACCACCTGAAAAGTAGGTGACATGCGTATTTTTTATCATCACAGTCTATATTACAACTATCAGCAAAGATATTTGATATTACTTCTTTGCGACACTCACAAATTAATTCTACTTTCGGTTAAAAAACTACACAAAAAGTCCATTTTTACATATTTTATACAATAACTTGTTTATTTATAGAGATACGACCTCGGACCCAATAACCATTATTGTTGTCCACATTTTTAGAATTCCGACGACGTTTTAACCGATGTTCTATCTTTTACCGTTTTCAAACTATCAGCGTTTTAACGCATAGCGCAAACCGCCATGTTTGCCCCCTCCCCCCCACCTTATCGACCACTTTTGAAATAGGCGACATACGTAATTTTGATCACCACAGTCCATATTACAATAATCAGCAATAACATTGCGTACTACTTTCATGCATGCTCAAACCCCCTCAGCTCCTGGACTAAAGATTTGTGTACCTGCAATCAAATACCGTACAAGGTAATTCTTGGCAATACAAATCTAATCTAACTTACCAAATACCACCATCAAGTTACCTTATTCAAAGAAAACATTGCATTTTATCACAAGGAATATCCAACACCGCCAGAGTAACAAAATTGTCTGGGTGGTTATAGTGCTCGCCTTAAGGTTTGATTCCATGCATGATCGTTTACAGACCCAGATGCTATTTGTCATTAAGCTATGAATTAATAAAAAAAGGTTCACGCTAGATAGTGACAGGACTAGGGATTGTTCCCTTTCAAAACCTAAAAACATTCCATTGGTGTAGAAAAAAACACAGTTAGTAATGCCCAGTCAGAAAAAAAAATTAAGCAAATTCAGGATGAAACGAATTTACTCCCCAATATAATTTATAGAAATTTATTCAATTTGCTAAATCGAACAAATTCACAAAATGTCCATTTCACTATAAAAGGGGTGAAATTACTAAGTCCATCGCCCCTCGAAGAATAATTTACACTGATAAATAAAAAAAACACATATAATTTATGTAATAATTACAATAATCGATAAAGAACAAAACACTTACTATTGCTACAAATATTTACAGTTATTAACAAATATGGTTATTAATATTGCTATTATCCATAAATATATCTCTATGTACATATATAAACACAGTTGACAGATTTTATAGCGCTTTGTACCAGTAACTCAATACTACAGAATAACAGTGTACAAGTTGTTCAGTTCCAGCTCAAGGCACCTAACTCAACAACAACAACATGTATCTCACATGCTCAAAAAACATTCAAGTTTTTTACATTTTTTTTAACTTATAGTCTCAATTCAATTTTATATCTATCTCCTTTTATATATATATATATATCCGTTTGAAAAAATATTTAAAATAATAACTCACTTTATCAAATTAAACAAACTCTTCAGTT